AAGTCAAATATTTATTTATTGATAGGAATAATTTTGTTGTTTGCCCCTAATATTATATATAGTGCTCCCTTAACTAATATGCGTTACAAATAAAAAAAAAATGATGTAAGGTACCATTCAGGCGTACAAAGAAAAAAAAAATGATTCGACAAAAACGGATGCATGAAAAACTTTGTAATTAACAGTGGCTTGTGGCTTTTGTAATGTGACTTGTGTAACTATAAGTTATACATTTATTGATTATCTGATTTCTTTTCCTTCTAATATTATTTTCAATGTTTAGAAGGGCCATCTAATGAACTTACAGGACTCTTCTGGATTAAGAAGAGAGAATGACAACCTATTTCATGATTAAAATATCCTCCAGACGGAGCATAATCGCGTCTATCAAGCAAATGCTAGATTATTAAGAGATGCAACAACATAATGAACTCTGGCCTAAGCATCCCTTTTTGTATGCCAGGTTCTTGGCGCAGCCACAAATTGTGGCGCAACGAAAATCATGAATTTCAATTATGATTCCTACAGTAACAAATAGATTCTTGTTCCTCATTAAAAATAAAATGCATTTTTCAGGATAAATTGAAGATGATCGATCCCTTTTCATATTCTTTAATTAGCCGTATTAATTCGTATTAATTTCTTTGTTCTTATTGTCATGAAATATTATGAATTTATATTTTTATGAATATTAAAAGTAATTATATTATCTTAATTGTAAAACAGGTAAAATTCATATGAAAAAAATGGATGGCAAATTCAAAAAAGAATCGGATTACAACACCGAAATATGTTTGTTTAATAAGGGTTAAATTCATATATTTATCAAATTGTTTCAAATTTTAATTTATGTTATACATTATTTAATAAATGAGATAACTTTATTATTATAAAGTTGAGTTTTTATTTATTTGTTAACGCTAACATTTTATTATCAATAACATGATGATATTATTGATATACAATTTATACAATTTCAATTTTTTTTTTAATCTTTAAACAAATGAGGTTAAAAGGTTCTAAAGGTTCTAATTAACGAATCTTAATTCCGAACTTATTTCTCTTTATAAACTCATTTTCTAATAATGGCCATAATTTAATTAATTTTCCTAATATAAATAATTATCTTTAATAATGATAATGAATATTTGTTGAACTTTTTTTCTTTCATTTTCTTAACGCGTTTCAAGAGAGATATTCCAATTGTTTGAGGGAACGCGCCAATAAATCTTTTGTTTACAAATAAATGTGATTCTCTCATGAATTATTCCCCCAAAATATGGATTTGTAATCATAAGACCTATATATTACGTTAAAAAATGAGACAACTTTTTATGTAAAATCATTTAAACTTTACTTCGATCATCTCTTTCTGATTTCTATAGAAAATTCGAAGTTTCAATAATAATAAATAAACATTTTTATTCCACTTACACATAATTAAAATCTGTCATTATAAAATCACAATTAAAATTGATTTAAATTTTTAATTCTAATCAAAAGTACATTATAATGCTGGTACGGTAACGATCACTGCCGGTGAGCTTTAGCAATTTTCATTAAATTATTAGTTATTTTATTTTGAAGTTCCCCTGTTTAATATTTAGGTTTCATTATAACGTATGACATATTACATCATTGTTAAATAGAATATCTTAAATGCCCAATGTCCCATGCATAGATATTATAAATCCGTTGGTGGCTTGGCAACAACACTTATAATAAACTTCGCCATCAAGAAGCAATTCATAAAAAATAAATTTTTATTGCATTATTTAAAAAAATGTTTACTATTTAGTTTTTTTATGGGGTGGGGATTTTACCCCGGTGAAAGTTAGCAATACCCATATAGAAATATGATAAGCTGTATTTTTTTTTTTTTTAAAAAAAAAAAAGGAAGTTGTACTAACGAGAATCAGATGTTCGTCTATTATTTTCTTCTAGTCTCCTTTTTATAATTATTTATTTTATGTGAAGTTATTTATGCCGATCTTATAATGAGCGGATAATTTTTAGATATCTGATATCTGACATATATATATAATACTGTATATATACGATGTATATATACAATATATATATATACGTGTGTCATTCTGTCTTCCCTTTTCGTCTTCCCCCTTCCCCCTTCCCCTTTCCTTCTTCATCTTTACCATGAGTTTCGAAAAAAAAATTTCAAAACTTTTATTAGAAAAAAAATTTTTTTTTTTTTAGGGACTTCAGCTTCGACTTGGACGCAGAATTCCAAATATGCTTTCGATAAGAAAACATTTCAAAACTTTTTTAAAAAAAATATTTTTTTTTTTATTTTTTTTAGGGACTTTGGTTCCGAACGTAGCTATAAATTACGTATATCTGTAATGTGTGATATTACAAACGTGTATAAATTAAATTAAACGGTTGACTAAAGTACCCAATAGTATTGCACAAGTTTGGTGTAGGAGACCCAAGTTAAAATTATTATATTGCGTACTCCACATATTTAAAAGGTTTCTATACGTACTCTCACCTAACTTGATACCGATTACTATTTTACTAACCTATAATTACACTAAACAACGTACTCAATCGGAATAACTATTGCCGAAATTCATGATATAAAAAACCTAGTCTTTTGCTTGTGAGAACAAATCTTCAAACTCGACTTTAAAATTCTCTACGAACCCCTTTCTATCTTATTACCAATTATTTTTTTGTTTTGAACGAAGAGAAACCTTTAACACCATTTTATAACTTTCCCGAAATCCTGTATCTGATTTCTTATACCTCAGTTATTTTAATATCGCAATAGTATTATTTAAATAAATAAGAACAACCGTCTTTTATAAAAAACCAATTTCCTGAAAAATTTTTATAAGGAGTAATTTTCTAGTAGATTATCACTAATAGAGATCTCACCAACAATTTAATAATGCGGTGATCTAGGACGAAAACCAATTATGGTAATCATCTTACTCTAATGTTAAAAACAAATTTTGCTTGCCGTTAAATTCTCTATCATTAACGAGTTATATTTCCTATTTTATTTCTTGCTGATCATCAATTAGCTTGGTTGAAAGGTGGCAGCAATGCGGTGAACAACGACATACGATTTACCAAGTTCTATGGGACAGAACATTCGCAGAAATACTTTAAGGAATCATTTGACTACTTTAAACGAATTTTATCAATGCCCAATTACTTTCGATCGATGAAGTCGAACAATTTATTAAGAGTCCAAAAGTAATGATGATAAAGAGACTTCATCGCTGTCATTATACAAATTGTACGTTGATCACCATAACTATTTGTTTGAATTCATATTCAGGTTTTAGGCTTAAGAATTCTTCACCTTTCTGTACTGTTCTTGGTTTTATAGTCAATTCATACAATATTTCTGAAATATAAAATAATGGCTGAAAAGAAAAATTGACTTTATACGAGAATTAGTATCAATTTGAGGTCGTTACAACTTTATAGAAATATTAGTCCGCAGAATTTATTAATAAAATCAAAGTTGAATCGAGTAGTATCCTGAATTTTTTATCGCTGTTCACCAATTTACCATATAATTGTCTGCAATTCAGCCGCAACAAGTGCAGAAACACTGAACCTATAGGATTAGCAAATTAAAATACATAAATATATTTAGGAGCGAGTGCCTTAATAAGAAAAGTTCAAGGAATGGGACAATTATGTATTTATTAGACAATATTTTTGCTCCAAAAAGATACCGATTATTTTAATTAAGCCTTATACAGATATAGTTTATAATAAACACGATTCAATGTGCTAAAAAATCTAAGTATATTCATAAAGGTAATAGTTAAAAAGACATTATTAGTATTTTATGATATACGGTATGTACTGTAAATATTAACGTCCGACGTGAAATCATTCACAATATATTAGTTTCTGCATGCAACAATTGCAACATGTTAAGGCAATAAATTTTATTAATATTCACATATACAATATAGTTTAGTAATGCCAAATTGAACTTAGCTAATCACCCAACGAAATCTTATTTACGCTTGCCTAGAAATAAAAGTGTATGTTACATCTTTCTTTCATAATGTTGGCGTTTTCGGGTCTTTTTTTTTTTTTGATTTCTTACTGGAAATGGCAATAAAAGAATTTAATAGGAAATATAATATGAATTATTTTAGATTGCCAATTTTTTTGTTTTAAACTTGGTTCATATATACATATGAAATCATCGTATTTTCCTAGTAAAATCTTTATTAACAAATGTTTATGTCACAGAAGTGATTTATTAATAAAAATAAAATTATCTGTGAAATCCCTTTTTTTTATCGCGCGACCTTGCATCTTCTATATCCGTAACAAAGTTTAATGGATTTTTAGGTTGATAAAATGTCATCGAATTTTGCGGAATGACTTTGCAAAAAAATAAATAATCAGGATATCTTTGTACAAAATGTTCAATATTGTATATATTTTCTTTATTTTTTATTTTCTTAGTTTATCAGTTAAGGAAGTTGATATTAGTTGTAATAAGATGGTACAGTATCCCGACAATCTGAAGCGTAAGCAATTAACTAAAATTTCGGATTTCACAATTTTGAATAAAATTTTGATATCGTACAGATGATTCTCAAAAGAGAAACATTCAGAATAAAATTTTTTTGATAGCTATTAATGTTAAGACTTGATCCATTTTACATCAAGGTCCATATATTAATTTTTTTTAAAAAAAAAAAGCTTTATTTCACTTTCAGTTATTAGAAAATGTATGAATACAATAAAAAATAAAATAAACTTCAGAAAGTTATAATTTCTATATTTTAAAAAATAAAAAAAAATACGTTAAAATATTCTATAGTATAATAATAATATAGTTAGGATTTAAGTTTAATTAACAACTTAATTTAGAATAAAAAGAAGGGCCATACATACATAATCGGAAATTTATTATAGTCGAACTTAAAGAGTAAAAGTAAAAATTCAAGATAGAAAAAAAAGTCATAGAATGAAATATATTAATTGAATAATATTCCTTAAGGAGAATTCTGAAATTCCTCATCTTGAATGTTATAGGAAATAGTTCCGTTTACTGAGATTGAAGTTGTATCATAAGTATTATTGTTTGAATATACTTGAGTAGTAGGTTGAATAGTTTCGTTTAATTGTTGTTGAATGTTATTTGCGGTATTTTGTTGATAAACAGGTAGTTGGATCAGTTGTTGAATTTGTTGCCGAATTAAAGAATGTATATTATTATGGAGTGGAAACTGGGGATCGGGAATAAGATAAATTAATGCTATTATTCAAGAGTCTCGCATTTTCTAATGGGTGTAATTCGGTATATTGATATGTAACATGGTAGATACGTGCATCATTAGATAACAATAACCTAAATGGTTATATACTAACACTCTGCGATTGACTTTCTAGCAAATCTTGTTCTTCTTTAAGCTGTTGAAGCTCGAGCATTTTCATTTTTGTTTCAAACAACTGGCGTTGTTCGTAGCGTTGACGTTCGTGTTCTATTCGTTTCTGCTCTAACCATTTCTGTTCTAGATTAGTGATGCGCTATCATTACCCATTGGTAAATTAGAATCCTGTAATCTTGTGCAGTTTGATTATTTGAATTCATTTTTGTAACGTGAAAACTATGAAGAATCAGAAAGTTGGAATGAAGTAATAGTAGTAAGGATGGGTTATTTACAGTATATTACTTTTTTTTTAAAAAAAAAAGTTAAATCGCAAACGAATATTATAAAAAAGCTTAGTGTAAGTAAAGCAGTGTTCAGTGATCAGCACCCACCGCTGAATATTAAAAGAGGAACTAACACTCGTTCGAAAATTATAATTATGTTAAATCACTATGATAATTACCAGCTAATTCTGTGATTAGGGATTGGAACCGTCAAAAAAAAGCTTAACCGGTTAATAACCGGTTAATTAGAGCGTCTAACCGGTTAATAACCGGTTAATTAGAGCGTCTAACCGGTTAATAGTCGGTTAATTAATCGGTTAATTAACCGGTTAATTTGTAATGAGGCTAACCGGTTAATAACCAGTTAATATATAAATTTTATATTTTAACGTGTGTTTAGAGGCCTATTTTTTGTATTTTAACGCGCGTTTAAAGATAAATTTTTGTGTTTTTAACTAAATAGTATTATTTAAGAGTAATTTCTGGTAAATATTTATATTAAAATGTATACATTAGTAAAAAATTACATACAGTATATTGTAATTACTTATTACCCAGTCATGCAGTGGTCACCGGTATCAGCACTAAGTTGAAAAGTTTTTTAATTATATTTTTAGTTCTATCCGAAATTCCATTCCAATTCTGATGGTCACTTTAGTATTCAAATTTTTTTTCTTATTTAAAATACTATACCCGATCATATCATGCTGATTTCTGCATAAATCAAGGTTATAACTTTAGAATATTTTAACATAAATAATGTTAAATTATAAATATCATATGCAATATATTATATTAAAATATAAGATTGCAGGTTTATCATCGAATCTATTATGGTGGGCAAAATTAAAGTTAATGCTAGTAAAGTTAAAGTTAGAAGTTGGCTAGGAATTACTATTTTAGGATGATCTGTATTTTAACCGGTTAAGTTAGCCGGTTAATTAGTCGGTTAATTTAACCGGTTAAATTAACCGGTTAACCGTTTTTTGAGAGGTCTTAACCGGTTAACCTTAACCGGTTCCAATCCCTATCTGTGATAAAAGATTTATTATTTTTTTTTTTTTAGTAAACGCACACATAGAAGTACAGTAGTAAAAACTATGAAGCAGAAGCTATTTACCAACGTGTACTACTATAGTTATCAAAAACTACTATTAAATCCTTGTAACTAACTAAACAAAAAACCTAAAGTGTGTATGTCCAAGCAATCAAAACAAGAAAAGGAAAACTTTTTTACTAATTTTCTAGAATACTTTTCGTTAATTTTAAAGGGGCGCAAATGTCTGATTTCTTGAAAAGTGTTCCAATATTAACTTCTCAACTTCTCAAACGGGTCTCGATAAGCTAATTGAACGAGATCATATGTACAATGGCAAAATTGATCTACCTCATTCGAAATATTTTGTCATATCAATCAATCGGGAACCGTTCATTTCACCTTTATAATGTAACCTAAAATATTAGCACGATGGCATGAGAGATTTTGTTGAAAATGTAGAAAATTAAAGAATCATATGATATTATTGCACAATAATTTCATTAATGATTGTTCAGAAATTTCTGGAATATTTCAACGAAATTTCAAAAATTGGACTAATTTATTCAAAATATTAAATTATCTGTTCATACAGTCAAATACATTGAAGTATTTTTTTTCTGGTGCTACGAATAAATTTTAACTAAGACATGTTTTTTTCACCACAACTACTGTTTGAGTCTTTATATTATTATCCAGCATTTTTAAATAAAGTAAGAGAAAAAAAAACCATATTATTGAAATGTTGTACAAAAAGGTGTCCTCGACTTTTCCGCAGTAACTTATGATCTGCCGCTCGCTTATTTCAATTTTAAACTAGGCGTAACCCGTCACGTTGCGCCAGGGACGATAAAGTAAGAGAATAATAATAAATACACTTATATTTTATTTGCCATGCAATGTGAATAGGTCTAGATTTTTACTATTATTATGATGGGATTAGTAGGAAATAAATGTAATAAATTACACAATTTATATGATTGTGTGTAAGTAGTGCTTCGATCCGTTTCTGTCTCATCCGGATGAATCCGGATGAATCCGGATTTTTTTTTATCCGGATATCCGGATTTTGACCCGGATTTTGATCCGGATGGAAAATATCCGGTTTGAACCGGAATCCGGATGAGTTTTCATATATATTTACTATATTCACGCAATATATCGCCATCCAGTAATCGTAGAAAGACGATTAATGGCTCATTGGAATCGTCGCATCAAGAGCTTTCGAATGGTACTAAAATGAGCTTTCTAGCTTCGATAGATGATGAGATAATTTTTAAAATATTTACATGAATAACTCGCCATCTATTGATGCTAGAAAGGTTATTTTGGTACCATTCAAAAGCTCTCTATGAGTGGATTATAATGATCCATTAATCATATTTTTATGATCACTGGATAGCGAGTTATTGCGCGAAAACAGTTCTGACTAATTAGAAAAGAACTGTAAAATAGTTTTTTTTAAATGTAAAATATATTTAAATGTTCTTTATTTTATTAACTTTAAAAATGTAAAAAATACACCTTTTTCAATTCAAATATGAAGATAAAAAAAAATTTTTAAAAATAAAAAATTTTGCTAAATTGTTGGAGTATTTGAAAAAAAAAATACAAAATAAAAAAATTAATTTTTACTATTCTTCTGATTCAAATTCAGGCAAAAATTCCTCTATAAAGTCTTCTTTTTCCACATCTAAGTCTGGAGGAAATACATTAATATATTCCATAGTTTGCATATTACACTTTGGAAAAGAAATTCATTAGATCCTGATTTATTAGGAAAAATGATATTTTTAAAGTTGTAATTCCGGCCGGCGTTATGAATTCTGGCCAGAATTATTGCCGATCAGTTGTAAATCCAATCCGGATTCCGGTTTCTATCCGGATTATTTGACCCGGATTAGAATCCGGNGAGATTTTGTTGAGAATGTAGAAAATTAAAGAATCATATCATATTATTACATTAATGATTGTTCAGAAATTTCTGGAATATTTTCAACAAAATTTCAAAAAATTGGATACAGTATCAAATACATTGGTATTTTATAATTGATGATGGTCGAAATATCATGTGTATCAGGTAAAAGTTTTAAAAAGTTTGATAGATACATCGGATAAATCACGAAGTGCCGAATAACTATTAAGGTATTTTTTTTTGGTGCTACGAATTACTAAGACACCACAACTCCTGTTGTTGCGCCTTTATATTATTAATTAGATCGGCACATTTTTCGACAAAGAATTTTCTATTGTACAAATAAACCCAGAAATTTATCATATAGTGTAATTGTGTATGCTAAATTACTTTATTCCGACTTTTCCGCAATAACTTATAATGCTCTACCGCAGTAACTGATAATATACGCAATACGTAAATTTTTTTTTTAAAGAAAAAGTTTTATTTCAGTTTTAAATATTGATACAAATACATTTGGTTCGTTTTCGAATTATATATAAAAAAAATTCCCAATCACTAATAAAAAAAACATAGAAAAAAAGTAGAAAGAATCAAAATTAAGTTGCCCATATATTAAAAGGAATATCTTAAAAATATTGTCTTAAATAATATTAGCTTAATTTAACATTAATAAATAAGGAGTAAATTAAAACTCAAGAAGAAAAAAAACTTATTTCATCCTAAATATATTAATGAGTCTGATTCTTAGGAATTCTGAAATCCTGTATCTTGGATTTTATCAGAAATAGTTTCGCTTACCGAATTTGAAGCCGTATTATAGGCGTCGTTATTATCCGAATATACTTGGGAAGTAGATTGAATATTAGTATCAAAAAAATTTTGTTGAATGCTGTTTTGTTGATAAACGGGTTGTTGAACTTGTTGAAATTGTTGTTGAATTTGTTGTTGAATTAGAGAATGTATGTTATTATGCAGTGGAAACTCATGACCAGGAATACGAGATAAATTAATACTATTATTCAAGCGTCGGGCATTTTCTAATGGGTGTAATTCAGTATATTGATATGTAACGTGATAGATACGTGTATCGTTTGGTAAAGGAAAGTAAAATTCAAATGTATCGTTTTGAAGTGTGGGAGTTGTAGTACTAGTATTAGACATTTCTACGGCGGTGTTAATGGAAGTGTGTTGGTCGTTGTTAATATGTAAAGGTGCGAAGTTATTTTCAGTTTGATACATTGGTAAATCAGAATGATCTAGAGAAGTTTGATTATTTAAATTCATTTTTCTGAATATTCATGAATATAATCAATTTTATATGAAGCAATTATTTAATATGCCAGAAAAAAAATTAAGAAAAAAAGGAGAAGGAAATAAATATAAATTTTTTTGAAAAAAAACAGGTGAAAAAAGGGGAATATGGTATCTTTATATATGTTTTGAAAGAGAAGTACTTTTAACTTATACACATCTAGATGTGTATAAGAGACAGGTTCAAAAAAGAAAAGAGGAAAGAACTGAAAATAAAAGATTGATTCAAGAAAAAAAAGAGAAAAATTAAAAAAGGGAACTGAGAGAATTCAAATCGGTTCGAAAGAAAAGGAAAAATTTTAAAAATAGGATTAAAAAAAAAAGGAAAAAAATAAATATTTGGAAAAATAAAATAAATCGTGATGACTTAATCAGCAATTCAAAATTAATTTATACAGGCTAATCTAAACGTTACGGTTACACATTGTATAGATTTAGTTATAGATATCGATAAAAATATATTTTGTTTGTTTTCGAATTATATATAAAAAAAATTCCTAATCACTAATAAAAAAAAATAGAAAAAAAAAGTGGAAAGAATAAAAATTAAGTAGCCTATATATTAAAAGGAATATCTTAAAAATATTGATTCTTAATTATTCTAAATAATATTAGCTTAATTTAAATACATTAATAAACAAGGAGTAAATTAAAACTCAAGAAAAAAAATTTATTTCATCTTAAATATATTAATGGGGTCTGATTCTTAGGAATTCTGAAATCCTGTAACTTGGATTTTATCAGAAATAGTTTCGCTTACTGAATTTGAAGCCGTATTATAGGAGTCGTTACTATCCGAATATACTTGGGAAGTAGATTGAATATTAGTATCAAAAAAATTTTGTTGAATACTGTTTTGTTGATAAACGGGTTGTTGGACTTGTTGGAATTGTTGTTGAATTTGTTGTTGAATTAGAGAATGCATGTTATTATGCAGTGGAAACTCATGACCAGGAATACGAGATAAATTAATACTATTATTCAAGCGTCGGGCATTTTCTAATGGGTGTAATTCAGTATATTGATATGTAACGTGATAGATACGTGTATCGTTTGGTAAAGGAAAGTAAAATTCAAATGTATCGTTTTGAAGTGTGGGAGTTGTAGTACTAGTATTAGACATTTCTACGGCGGTGTTAATGGAAGTGTGTTGGTCGTTGTTAATATGTAAAGGTGCGAAGTTATTTTCAGTTTGATACATTGGTAAATCAGAATGATCTAGAGAAGTTTGATTATTTAAATTCATTTTTCTGAATATTCATGAATATAATCAATTTTATATGAAGCAATTATTTAATATGCCAGAAAAAAAATTAAGAAAAAAAGGAGAAGGAAATAAATATAAATTTTTTTGAAAAAAAACAGGTGAAAAAAGGGGAATATGGTATCTTTATATATGTTTTGAAAGAGAAGTACTTTTAACAATAGAAAAAATAAAAAATAAAAATAAAAAATAAAAACGAGGAAAAAGAAAATTCTTTTTTTTTGATTGTAAAATTAATTCCAAGAGGGTGTTAGGATGATTATATATATATTTGATTCTGGTAATTATTTATAATATTTATTTTTTTTCGTTTTTCGTTTTTTTATAGTGTATTTAATGAGAAGGGTTATTAATAATATTTATTTAAATTATATTAGTAAAAAGTAAGAGTTTTTGGTTTTTTTTTTGTTTTTCGTTAAATATGTTTCGTTGAAGTTATAATAAAAAATTCTTTCTAAGTCGAAGTATATTTATAACAAATTTTTCCGTGATTTAAATGTGATTTTTTTTTTAGTTGTCAAACGGTAAATAACCACGAAAAAAAATAAAAAAAAATAAACGACGAACAACTATATATATAGTTGTTTTTTTTTGAATAGTTTTTTCGAGTTTTTTGATCATACAACTTGTACAACTTGTACAAGTTGTACAACTGCTATGTATATCATATCTTCATGAGTAAATTAAGTAATTTATCACATTTCTGGTAAGACAGCTAGTAATTTGCAGCTCTGGGCGCGGTTTCTAATCCATGCACGATGCCGATCCTACTGTAAACTGTATAAATAAATTTCACGTGATCATATAAACCGCCAGAATCAGTAATTTGTAACATTGCGTAACAGTGTAACCCTGTAACAAATTAAGACAATGTGTGCAGATACACAGGGTTCACAGATTATGCATGCATTCAATAATTATTCGATCTTTATATCATTTACTAAACAAAAATTTGAGAATTTTTATTCTACTACTACATACTATTGTGTCACAAGGATGATCATAAGTCATAACTATGTTATTATCGATGATAATTAATTAATAAACTTTAAATAATACTTTAAAGAAGAAATTTAACGATATCAAAAAAAAAAAAAGAATAAACATCATGGCACATATTAGCATCAGCAATAAAGAAATAATTATGCCAAAATACTTCTGAAATTGATATTCAATTTCGTTCAAGAAATAAAATTAAGTTTTTCGTTCTTTTCAACCAGGTATATAATGATGATGATGTGTTTATTTTACTAATTATTTTGTAGGATCATGTGGTAAACATCTGGATGGGTTGGTCTCACAATGGATACATGAAAAAACCTTTTTTACTGTTAGTATTCAATTAAATTTAATTAATATCATTTAGAATTACTATTAGTTTTTTTTTATGGGGTGGTGGATTTTGTTTTGAACGAAGAGAAATCTTCAATACCATTTTATAACTATCCCGAAATCCTATATCGAAAAATGTATGAAATGTGAAGTGATGGTCAAGACGCTATAAATTTGATTTATCACTAACAAGACTCAAATATCTCACGGTCATCTCGAAATCATATTCGAAGTATATGCAAATTGGCCTTTTTCTTTTCGATTTCTTATACCTCATTTATTTTAATATCGCAATGGTATCAATGAAATAAATAAGAACAACCGTCTTTTATCAAAAACCAACTTTCTGAAAAATTTTTATAAGGAGTAATTTTCTAATAGATTATCACTAATAGAGATCTCACCAACAATGTTATAATCCAGGACAAAACCAATTTTGGTTACCCAATCAACCAATAGTCTAAGGTCATTTCGGACCGCAGTCCCCTATAAGTCTCATTGGTTGATATTCTGGACCGCAGTAAATAAAAAATACTTGAATATAATACTGCGCCCCACAATTAATAAATTCACCAGACTCCAGACTTCTGCGCTATTTTTAATAATTTCTAATTTAAGATTGTCCTGTTGTGGAATACCCCTGAATAATAAAATTCGAATGCGCTTTGAATAGTCAGAATAATCAGTCGCTTTTTTTTCATAAAATGGCAAAAAAGGAAAGTTGAAAGAGACTTAGTATGTCGCACATGGTATCTCTTTTGTGACTAAAATAGTTAACTTACCTGTTAATAGTTATTTATAGCTGAATATAAAAATTCTAAACAATTTTCCCACTAAAATATTAATATGTTAAATTAGAATGTTAGTATGAACTTTTTTATAGGGTGCCGAGCATGAATAGTGACAAATATTCTTTACTATGATCACGCGATTTAACTCCGCTTTAGACGTCCCCTTGTCTCCCTATTATAGAGCTTAGACTCGTACTCGAACCCAATTTGATTTGCACTTGAGCGAAATTTTTTATTCGAAGAACAGTACTGTAAGAAATAAAAAAAAAATACGTTAAAATATTCTATAGTATAATAATAATATAGCTAGGATTTAAGTTTAATTAACAACTTAATTTAGAATAAAAAGAAGGGTCATACGTACATTATCAGAAATTTATTATAGCCGAACTTAAAGAGCAAAAGTAAAAATTCAAGATAGAAAAGAGAATAAAATATATTAGTTGAATATATTCCTTAAGGAGAATTCTGAAATTCCCCATCTTGAATGTTATCGGAAATAGTTCCGTTTACTGAGATTGAAGTTGTATCATAAGTATTATTGTCTGAATATACTTTAGTAGTAGGTTGAATAGTTTCGGATAATTGTTGTTGAATGTTATTTGCGGTATTTTGTTGATAAACAAGTTGTTGGATCAGTTGTTGAATTTGTTGCCGAATTAAAGAATGTATATTATTATGGGGTGGAAACTGGGGATCGGGAATATGAGATAAATTAATGTTATTATTCAAGAGTCTCGCATTTTCTAATGGATGTAATTCGGTATATTGATATGTAATGTGATAGATACGTGTATCAATTGACGAAGAAAAAGGAAAGTAAAATTCAAATGAAACGTTTTGAGACGCGGGAGTTGCATTATTAATGAAAGCACCCACGTCGTTGATTGGATTATGATCAATATGCTGCTCATTGCTATTGCCCATTGGTAAGTTAGGATAATCTTGTACAGTTTGATTATTTGTATTCATTTTATAAAGCGAAAATATTATGAGGAACCAAAAGTTGGACTGGTTCAAAAATTTTGAAGAAATAGTGAGTATTTAAATGTTTTAAATAAAAAAGGTCCGAGCAGCAAATTGCTCCTCATCATTACACAAATATTACAAAAACAGTTTAGCGTGAGCATATTATAAATTTCCTTATATTACACAAATATTACAAAAACAGTTTAGCGTGGGCAAATTAGTTTAAATTAAAAGGTCGGACGCAAAATTTCCTTATCATTACACAAATATTACAAAAAGGTTTGGCGTGGGCTAAATAATGATTACGAAAAGAAAAAATTTTTGATTAATAATTTGGAAATTTGGTGATATGATTGGCCTAGGTAAAAATTTACGCAATTCGGATTGACATTATTTACTGAGTACCTAAATTTTCTTTCAATATTTAAATTCTGCAATTTTCAGTACTACTTTTTGGCTAATCTCCTTTTTATATGACATGCTCGTATTTGTTTTATACTTTTCTTTCAAAATCGCGAATTTTCATTGGTAATTTGCTACTCACATGACAAATGACACTTTCTGCTCATGTGACTTTTTGGTCGGCATTACGGAATTAAGAAATTAACCATGTGATGAATAAGGACGTGAAAAATAATTTTTTACACCTCGAAAAAAAAATCTGTCCCCCAGATACTTATGAAAAAGGGAAACGCAGAGGATGTGATATCGTGTGACAAATATTTTTACTATGATCACGTGAGGGCAGAAAAGTGTCGGTGATATGATACTGGGGGGTAAGATATATAGACTTCTGGCACCATACATCAATGAAAACGAAACAGAGCTAGTGTGGAAGAGTGCATAGAAAACAAGCAGTAATAAGCAAATTATTATAAAAAGCTTAGCGAGTACATAATTTACAAGACACTTTGCTGAATTTTAATTCAAATGTCCTAACGTTTGAAAAATAAAAATATTTTTATATAACTGACTACTTTTGATGGTTCAAATAGATTATATTAGTTATTTTATTCTCTTATATTCAATTAAACCGCTTGATAAGATAAGCATTATTGACTGTTTTGAATAGGTTATTCCAAATTTTATGTAGCATATTCAGGAATCATTTCTCTTTAGTTTATATAAAATTTTAAGGTAGTCACTTTTTTTGTGATTGTGTTAAAATTTAAATACGTTATATCTTTAATATCGGTATAATTTTTGTGATTGTGTTAAAATTTAAATACGTTATATCTTTAATATCGGTATAATTTTTTTCATGTACTAATGATGCTATCCAAAAAAAACTCGATAATTTATTATGAAATAGTTTATAGATGGAAAAAAATTATTAAAATATAGCGAAAAAAAAAAAAATTTTTAATATTATTTTATATATTATCCAAAATCTTTGAAAAAGCCTTGAATAAAAAAATTGGTTTCATTAAAAATAATAAGAGAAAGAAGAATTCTTAGAATTCTTCATTACAGTATTATCAATAAACCTTATTTTTTTAATAAATAAAAAGAAAAAGAAAAACCAATAAATACAAGCTTTAAAATCATTAAAATTTAGTTGTTCGCTTTAATTTATTGAATAAAAAATTCCAAAAAAAGTAGAATCTAGAAAGAATAATTAAATTAAAACGTCCTTTATAATACGACCGAAAAAAATAATAATAGAATGAATTCTTATTTAATAAATACTATATAATTATAATCATATTTATCATAATTTTGCACGAACAGTTTGTGAGGATTTATCAAAATCAGCATAAAGTTGATCAATTATTTTTCGATAGAACTTGGTCATAGCTGGACGTTTTGTTTTAAATCTATATAAAAAAAAAATTGAATTAATTATTTTTGATTTAATATTTTTAAAGTGATTATAAAAAAAAAAATAAATAAAATAAAATAAAAATTAAATTTAAATTACGTTGCAGTTATAATTCCATCTTCAGGTGTAAATGCTTTAGGTTCAACATAAATAGCCTTAATACGTTCAAACCTTTTAATATATAATTTAAGAAATAGTTAATAATCAAAATTTAATTAAAAAAAAATGCATATAAACTAATTTAAGGAATTCAGAATTTTTTGATAGAGACAATATACTAATTTTTTTTTTAAAAAAAAAACTTACCCGTTTAATCCATATTTTATTCCAACTTGATTCATATTATTTAAAAGAGCATCACAGACTTTTTTATTTTTTACATGTTCTTCAAACTCATATGTTCCTCCTAAAAGTTCGTTTGCCCATGGAACAAATAATTCGGGATTCGGAACTGCGATACCAACAAGATATGATTTCAATGGATCCCCATAAACAAACAATTGTGCTAATAATAGATTTCTTAAGTAAACTTGTTCAATCTAAAGAAAGTAAAAAATAAAATTAAAATTAAACCTTTAAATAACTTTTCTTGAAAAAATTATAAAATATTTACTTTTTCGGGAGCAATGAATTCTCCTTGAGATAATTTAAAAATGCTAACTTTACGATCAATTACAACTACACAACCTCTGGCATCAATATAACCAATATCACCAGAATGTAACCATCCTTCTTTATCAATCGTTTCTTTAGTCTTCTTCTCATCTTTAAAATATCCAACCATAACACCTTTACCTCTAACACAAATTTCACCTCGTGGAAATGGTTTATCTTCACTTGTATATCCCATTTCTGGAACATCAACAAGTTTCAATTCTGATCTAAAGAAAAGTAAATTCGCCAATTATGTTTATATATATAATTCTTTTTTTAAAAAAAAAATCTACCAATCAAACATAACTTACGAACAAACTGGAGGTCCAACATGAGATGGTTGTGCATCTCCAACCATAGTTGTACAACCTAATCCTGTATTTTCAGTTTGACCATAACCTTCTTGAAAAGAAACAGAAAACGCAATTCTAAGGAAATCCATCACATCTTTAGCGAGAGGTGCACCTCCAGTACTAAAATATTTAACTCTTCCGCCAAAGGAATCTCTAAATTTGTTTAAAAGAATTCTATCCCAAATTGGATGAGTTACAGATCCAGTTTTTTCAAAATTTTCTGTTTTATCTTTGATGGCCTTTCTTGATAATACACCAATAATTCCTGTTGATTCAACAGTATGACCTTTTAACATAGCAGCAACCCTATTGAAGACTCTAGGAACACTCGGAAATGCAGTTGGTTTTAAAACTTTCATATCATCAAATATACCAAATATGTCTCCTCTATAATATCCAATTGGACATCCCAAAAAAATAGAACAAATTTCAACATTTATACCAAATACATGAGCTAAAGGTAAATAAGAAATAATTACATCTCCAGGTTTACTTTGTGTCACTACAAAATATGAGGCAAGTACTGCTACCATATTTTCATGAGATACCATTACACCTTTTGGATCTCCTGTTGTTCCTGATGTATACGGAATTACAAATAAATCACTTGACGTTGGTGGATTATATTTCCTTGGATTTTCTTTTCCTAAATTTTCAACTTCAGAAAATTCATAAATTTTTATATTATATTCTGATGCCCATTTTTTTACATATTCAGTTAAATCTTCTAATGGATCAATTGAAATTATAACTTTAAGTTGTGGAATTTTAGGTGCTAGTTTTAACATTGATGTGATATGGTTTGCTGTCATACAAACAATTTGAAGTTCAGCATGATTCGTACAATATTCTATTGCATCATGCCCAAGTGTATCATAAAGCGGGACAGTAATTAAATTATAAGCTGCATTTGCTTGAATAATTAATTGAAATTCTGGCTTATTAATTGACCATACTCCAACCATGTATCTATCCTTTTTTCCATTCTTTACTATAGTATCGTTAATATGAACTAATCCACTTCCAAAATTGGTGAATCTTTCAAGAACTTTTTCATATGTTTCCCAAACATAATCTCCATATTTTCCTGTTTTTTTATCAAATGGACGATATCCAAGACATGGTTTCTTTGCATATCTACTAACAGCTATTCAAAAATTATTAATAAATTATACGACGCAGTAATTAATTAAAGAAAATACGAGAATTGATTACCATATTGAAAACTATCAAATACAGTGCTAACTTCGGGACATGGCTTTACAACTAAATTATCTGGCATAAACGAGTTTCTGTAGATACCTATGAAAAAAAATAAATACAGTTTAATAAATTTTTAAACTAGTTAATATAATTAATTGTTCAACTATTACCTGTTTGTCCGGGTCTTTTTGAACCAGAAACGATAACAGTTTGTTTATTAAAATCAAAATTAGTGGTTGTTGACATATTAATTGATTTTTTTTTCGTTGTGTAAAAATCAAAAAGAAAGATACTTTTTTTTTTTAGGTTCGTTTATATCGTTTATATACATACAGTATGTTTATAATTTTAATAATTTGTGCGACTAAATAAAACTATACATCAATTAAACTTTAAATTAAATCAAGATTGAGGTGAATCATTGAAAGGGTTGCCAATTTTGGAATCGGAATGTCCCATAGTATTAAATTTTTAACGAAAAAATAGGAAGAATGGACGTTTAATAATGTCGACTATCAATGCGGTAAACTTTAATTTATATTATATTATAAATTTTCAAATAATAAATAATACTAATTAACGTCATAGCTAAATTAGGTAGTACCAGGGGTATTTTGTACAAGATAATACTGCAAGGGTGTTTATATCGAAATTACCGTTTAAAAGATAATAGTAATTTCATAGTGTTTTTTTTCCATTGTATAATTGAATTAGTGTGTAAATCTCTGGCCAATCAGCAAATCCACATTTTACACGTTGTTGCTTGTGCGATGATTATAATAAGATTTATATTTTTTTTTGTTTCGGACTTCGGATAATTATAAATATAAGCCAAATTTAAATTAAAATTAGATCCCTAACGCTAATAAGTCATTATGATAAAGTTCATCAATAAAAAAAAGCTCGGGCACGTGATTCATATTATTGGGCTGTAGCAATTGAAATCATAATTGTTAATTCGGAAATAAAAAATCCCAAAAAGTTAATTAACCGAAGAACGTTGTATTGTTGTTAAATTTTTTACTTTTTTGAGTAACCACAAAGATTAATAAAAAATAATTAAAATAGTGGTGGAATTTTTAATAATGAAAGTAATCTAAAAAATATTATAAACATTTTTAAATAGAAAATTTCTAAGTTTACACGGGGTGTTTGTACACGGGTCATATAAATATAATTTTTAATAGACTAATTTTTTGTTTTTTAATTTGAAATTGAATGCTACCGACATTATACTCTTTTACTTTTTATTCTTATTATATTACAGATAAATATATGTATTTTCACCTGCTCTGCAAGTTTACTTAAGGCATTAAAGGAGGTTTTGAATGCCGTTTTTAATCTACTAATATGACCCGTGTTTAAACACCCCGTGTACAAATAGAAATTGCCTTTTAAATAATATAGATTAAAAAGTTAAATAATTAAACTATATTTTATTAGAGAATTGTTTATTATAAATTTATTACAATTAATAAATGAAATAAAAATGGTATGTACAATTTAATAAATGAAATAAAAATGTGCTTTTCCCCAAAGTCCATTTCACCGAATGGCCATTTTACCGGACATTTCGCCGAAAGCCATTTCGGCGAAGGGACATTTCATCGAAGATATGGAATTTTTCAATTTTCATTTTCTTTTTTATAAGACAAACGTATTACAAGTTGATCATCAATTTTCCTGTCAATCACTAACATTTTCGAGAAAAAGGTTTCGGCGAAATGTTTATTCGACCATTCTTTCGGCGAAACGTACCGTAACCAACAAAAATTATAATTTATTATAAAAAAAAAGGTTAAAAAGAAGAAGATAAGAAAAATAATATTTTGAATACGGTTGTCCAAAGCAGTCATTCCAGGTGGCGAATTTTCGGGATTTTGAAGTGCAGTAACCTGTAACCTGAAAACGTTGTCGGACTGATTCCTGTGAATCCATTTTCTCGATGTAACCTTTTCTCGACAATGATTTCTCGACAAGAAAAATTCCCGAATGGCCATTTCCTGGAAAACATTTTTTTTCCCGACATAATATTATCCCGAAAGACACTATCCCGACATGAAATTTTCTCGAAGTCAAATTATAAAAAATGTAACTGAGTTGGGTATAACACAGGTTCTCCTGATAACCATAATATAATCCTGACACCAAAATCCCGATAAATGCAAATCCCGAACGAATTAAAATCCTGACAGTCACAGAATCCTGATGATCTAAAATCTTGAGAGTTAAAATCCTGACTGGGATGACTACATAGTCCTTTTAGTTAAAATAAAAAAGTTTTCGTTTTAATTTCAATAATATTATAATAATAACGTTAGTTAATTTGAATTAATATTAATAAATTTTGCAAACAATTTGCAATGGTATTGATAAAATTTACAAATATTTTGCGTTAATACTGATTAAATAATTCAAATTATATTTAATTATGTTGGATAAATTAAGACCGATACTGCGCCGCAGTATTTTTAAAATTATTTGTTTAATTGGAAATTTATAAAATTTATATAATTTTTTTTTTTAGAAAAAAAAACTTTGGGATTTTGACCGTCAGTAGACTGTCGATACTATTGTTGTCGGGGATTTGTGGTAAACCCGTACAACACATTATAAATCGCAAATTTTTAAATTTTAATTAGTTTTATCAAGAATAAAATATTGTTTTGCGAAACTATACAAATAATGTTTACTAATAAATATACAAAATAAACTGAGCAAAAATAATCTATTTAGAAAATGATTATATATTTGTCATCAATATTTCAAATTAATAAATTTGACGATATTTTTAAACTGTATGAAATTTTTAGCTGCAAAATTCCATAAAGTAATTTGAAAAGATTATCATAAGATCATTATTTTTATTTTTTTTTGGGGGTAAAATCAATAAATCATTTTTCGTAATTTCATTTCAGAAAATCGTCATGTCGAGACAATATCATGTCGGGAAAATGTTCATTCAGGAATTTGTCTTGTCGGGAAATCTTGCCGTAACTTTTGAAAATCGTAAATTTGATTAAAAAAAGTATTTAACAATTAAAGAAATTTTATAAATCATTTATTTATTAGAAAATCAATGGATTCTTGTGACATTTTAAAGCAACTTCTTTATTTGAATCTCTTGACATATTCTCCTTATGTAATGGACCATCTGTTTACCTGTTTTTTTTTTTAATTTCATTGAACTGATTGTACGGTATTCATTCAAAGACTACATCAATTTATAATTGCATTTCTTGAATGAAATTATTAATTTTTCATTTCCATTAAAATTCATTCGAAGTATATTCACGGTACTTTATTAATACAAAGATAAAAAAAATAACAAGTATGGAATGCAACCTCATGATACATGAAATTTCTATGAATATATACATTTATTATTATACATTTATTATTGACTATAGATTATTTTTTCCTTCACGCGACGATTCTTAGTTGCAGGTTTTTTACTAGGCGATGCCCTATCCATTAACAATAACCTCCAAAATTCTCTTTACATTCTTGTGCAACTCGGTTGAATTCTCGATAGCATCTTCCATCAATGAAATTCGATACCCAGTCCAGTCCTGCTCGTATTATAGATGCCCTCAGTGCTATGAAGAGTGAAATACCAGTCAGACTATACCATAGACGTATTCGTAATCTGGATCGAACGCATCACCAGCCTTTCGCTTTTTCTTGTTCATATTTATGTTTATCTGGAGTGGCGAAGCAAGTTAGCAATACCCATGAAAATGATACGACGACGAATTTGTGTATCGTCTAAAGCGGAGTAGTTTTGGCCGGTGTTACGGCATTAAGAAATTATAACATAATCGGGATCAGCGCTAGATCAGGAATTATAATCGATGGTATTATTACACAGAAACGTTAGGTGGAATGACTCACGTGATTGATGGCGCAGTTATTTTGGTGTATAGTTAAAACATTCAAACATTTAGCATAGGATGTATAGCAGCCCATACAAAGCCCAAAAGTCTTTTCAAAATAAAGGCCCATTTATAATATATGTAACTTAATAAATAACTTCTAAAAAAAAGAAATTTACGTACTAGTTAACAGTTAAAATACAATTTTTTGATTAAAAACGTAAAGTTCAACGTTTTAATAAAAAAATTTTCTTTAGTATACAATAGATTTTATATTTTTCTATACAGATGGAATAATTGACAAAAAAAAATCCATCGGCGTGGGATAAAATTCAAATTATAACGATTATCAAAAACGTGATTCCGAAGACGATCGTATAATTAATTTGGCTACATATAAATTAATTGTTCTTTATAATAATTTCTTTTTAAATTGATTATTAAATAATAATACGCAATAATGAATGATAATTAGATAATTAAGAATTACAAATATTATTTACCCTACGAAATGAAACTCTAATAATTTGGAAACTTTCAATTAGTAATTTTTATTCTACTGGAATACATTTCACTGAAAATTAACGATAAATAAATTTAATTAACATTTGAATTTAAATTGAATAATTAATGTACTAAAAAATGTGGAATGTAAAGAAACTTTAAAATAAAATATTGAGTATATTTTCAAAAAATTAATTAGCTTAATTTTCTTAGCATCATTTAATTTATTACTTATATAATGACATTTTGAGCATTTTCATTTTTACTGGATATTTAAATAGAGATTCTTAATTATTGGAAATTTTAATTAAATTCAAGTATTCATTCACTTTTTATTTTTGCAAATGATTTTATCCAGTTCGTAAAAAAAACTAATACTGTAAATATGAATTATTGCCATCTTTTATTTATTACTTCTTTTATTAATAAGAAGTATGAAATAAATTTTATATGGTTTTACGCTACCGTTTTCATTGCATCAATTAAATAATTAAATCATGTATTTTTTTTAAATATTTAAAACGTTGATTTTTATATACTAATTTAAAAGTAGATATTGATTCATTCATAAGCAAGAATTCAAGAAATATCTTTAGAATCAAATTCAAAATTGAGATTTCATAATGAGACTTTTTTCTTCTAACGAACTTCAGCAGCTTATCATTTTTTTTATTATTATTTACTAATCATGAATCATATTAATTTTTATATTTTTGGGACATAATTGTTAAGAAACTTAATTTACACAAAATATAACGAGTATTCATCGTCATTTAACAATTTTGTTGAAACGGTTAACCTTATAAAATTATTTACTAAATATATTAGTTTATTAATTAAATAAGTAGATAATATTAGCTGTAAATGAACGAAAGAAAAGAAACCATAATTAATTTAAATAATAAAATAAAATAAAATAAAAATTAAAGGACTATTGATAAAGACCTGGTTCCAAAATTCCGAAACTCAATCGAATGAAAAGTATCCCGACAATCAATCTGAATTCTGGATGACCCTTTTCCTGATATCCTGATAATCCAATAATATTTTATTTTAAATTCCTTTATGGGAATTCACAGTTTTAAGTAAAATTTGTCATCGTACCTTTCAAGGAATAAAACCTTCAGAATAAACTTTTTGAAGCTATTAATGCTTAGACTTGATACACTTTTATAAATACTTATGCGCAGTTGTAATTTTTTTTTTAAAAAAAAGCTTTATTTCACTTTTAGTTATTCGAAACATACTGTATGAATATAATAAATAAAAATAATTAAATATAAAAATAAAATAAACTTTGGAAAGTTACGGCAGTGATATAGATAAACCAATATTTTTTATTGTAAGCGTCGCGATCATGTGCAACCGCAACCTAAGATTTCCCCATCCCTACATATGTCACTGCCCTATAATCTTTATATTTTTAAGAAATACATTTCAAATCATAAAAAAATACGCTAAAATATTCTATCTTATATATTAATAAAGTAGTACTTAACAACTTTAGTTTAGAATAAAATGATAGGCCATACCTTACACAATCGGAAAATTTTAAAAGAGCGAAAATAAAATTCAAAATAGAAAAAAAAAATCATCTAGATTCTGGGAGAATTCTGAAATTCCTCATGTTGAATATTGTCGTTATCGAAAATAGTTCCGTTTACTGAAATTGAGGTTGTATCATGAGTGTTATTATTTGGATATACTTGAGTAGTATTGGGTTGAATAGTGTTGAAGAATTGTTGTTGAATGTTATTTTCAGTATTTTGTTGATAAATAGGTTGTTGGATTTGGTGTTGAATTAAAGAATGTATACTATTATGGAGTGGAAACTGGTTATCAAGAATATGAGATAAATTAATACTATTATTCAAGAGTCGCGCATTTTCTAATGGGTGTAATTCGGTGTACTGATATGTAACATGATAGATACGTGTATCATTTGGTAAAGGAAAATAAAATTCAAATGTAGCGTTTTGAGGCGCAGTATTAGGTACAATTGAAGTATGTTGGCCATCGTTATTATCCATTGGTAAATTAGAATAATCTTGTGTATTTTGGTTATTTGAATTCATCTTAGAAATAAAATAATTTAAATTATGGTTGATTATTTACTGTATTAATACAACGTATGGGTAATTTAAAATTTTTAAAATTTTTTATTTTTTTTATTATTGATCTCTACGAAGAGTTCATTTAATATATACTGTACCAAAAGTGCGTGTAAATCATATACATAATAGGAAATCCGGAAAAAAGCGCCCGAAAATGAACTCACTTGTTTATGTGTCATTTCTTATATAGGATTAGTCTTGGTATTCTGTTCAATCAATTAGGACTAATATAGTTGCATCATATTATGATTAATATTATTGGGGGATTATTTACCTTATTTGATAAGTTTAAAAATCGATCATGCAATTGGTTGATTGCATTGAACGGATACTAATCTATTCGTTAATGATCAACGGGAGACGTGTATCAACTGCGTCATGTATTTTTTTTATGTTTAAACGTTTCTTAATATTTAACTGGTACTAACGTATAATTAAACGTATTGTAGAAACAATGAAAGATCTCGAAAGCAAATTAAAATAGATTTGACAGTTATAAGATGAGTTCAAGGCAATGTTTCAAATGGGATAGTATGTATTTATTACACAATATTTACTTCAAACCTTCTGTTTTAAACTTGGTGTCTTATACCAACAGATGTCAACAGATGTATAATGGGTTCCATCCTGATCATATTTACATGTTGAAATTGTTATGCTGTATATTTCTAGTAAAATCTCTTATTAGCAAATGCTTATGTTATTATCTATATAAATTATATAATAATTGAGGTGGAATTGAAATGATTTATTAATAATAATAAAATTATCTACTTAGGTTGATAAAATGTCATCGAACTTTGCGGAATGTCTGTGTAAAAAAACTATCAGGATATCTTTGTACAAATTGTTCGACATTGTATATCTTTTCCAAATTTTTATACTTTTGTAATTAAGAAATTTTAAAGATAATGACTACGTTGTATTCTTAATTCATCATCAAAATGTGTGATATGAAATAATATGAGCGGTTTCGGTAATCATCAATACCGATATCGTATCGAAGAGGTAGTTATTTATTTAGAATAAATATTAGTTTATCAATTAAGGGAGTAGATGGTATTAACTGTAAATGGAAGAGAGAAAGAAGCCAGTGATTTAAATAATAAAATAAATAAAGTAAAAATAAAAATAAAGGACTATTGATAAGAATCTGGTTCAAAATCTGGTAAAGTATCCCGACAATCTGAATTCTGGACAAACCCAAAGACACCAAAGGCACCTTATCCCGATATCTCGATAATATTTTATTTTACTTTTAAAAAATTCTGTTCTAAAATAATTAATTAAAAATTTTAATTCTTAATTATTATTCTACAATTCCTTTTAAGACTTCAAAATTTTGAATAAAATTTGTGACATCGTAGTCATCGTACCTTCTCAAAAAAAGAAACCCTCGGAATAAATTTTTTTTGATAACTATTAATTCTTAGACTTCATTTCATATCTTTTACTATAAATATTTATGTGCAGTTATAATTTTTTTTTAAAAAAAAAAAGCTTTATTTCACTTTTATTTATTCAGAACATACTGTATGAATATAATAAATAATAAAATAAACAAATATAAAATAAATATTTTTGTAAAACAAGAAAATAATATAAAAGTAAATGATCAGAGGGAAACTTTGAAAATTATAAACTTAATAATAAAAAAAAATACGCTAAAATATTCTATAAAATAATAATAAATGATTTAAGTTTAATTTCACAATTAAGTTTAGAAATTTATTATCGACGAACTTTAAAGAGCAAAAGTAAAATTCAAAGATAAAAAAGAAGTGTCATCTAGATTCTGGAATGAAATATAAGAGTATAATAATCGAGTCTAATCTTTAAGGAGAATTCTGAAATTCCTCATCTTGAATATTATCGGAAATAGTTATGAGTGTTATTTGGATATACTGAGAAGTAGTAGGTTGAATAGTGTCGAAGAATTGTTATTTTCAGTATTTTATTGATATACAGGTCAGGAATATGAGATAAATTAATGTTATTACCGGACTCAGTAAAGATATACTCTTATTATTCGAGAGTCGCATATTTTCTAATGAATGTAATTCGTTATATTGATATGTAACGTGATAGGATACGACGTCATTTGATAAAGGAAAAGGAAAGTAAAATTCAAATGTAACGTTTTGAGATGCGAGATTTGCAGTATTAATGAAAGTATTTTGAATTCCCACGTTGTTAGTTGAAGTGTGCCGGTAGTCGCTGTCCATTGATAAATTATGTAGTTTGGAAAAAAAAAGTTGTTTTTGATCTTTTGCGAAAAGTCCCATCTAATACAGCGAAAGAATAAATAACAGATAAGTCTTTGACATAAAAGAGACGAAGAAATATCCCAAAAAGTTGGATGAAACAAAATTTAAATTTTTTGAAAAATGTAGGAGGTAAAAGATGAGTATTTATATATTACTTTTTCAAAGAATGAATGAAAATATAAAAAATATTACGGCAATAATTCTGAATTTATGTTAGCAATTCCTATTCGTGACCAGATCAGTTAGTTTCATTATTAATAAAATTTATGTGTGATATCTTAATTATCACAATTTACTTGAGTGTAAAGCCATGCATAAATTAAAATTTTTTGTAATTTTTTCACTAATTTGGACGCATCATATCGGCCAAATTTTTGGAATGCTAGCCATATGATAATATAATTTTTAATTCATTTTTTTTTTTTATAATCTAATAATTTTAGTGAGACGATAAACATACAATACCATTGGCTAATTTCAATTAAAAATTCACAAATTTGGTTGAAGGATCTCTGATACTCAAAGAATGATAATATCAATTTCTGGAATGGGCGAATATGTCTATATAAGTTTATATAATACTGAAATGCTCCGACATGAGAAATCAAAAAAAAAAAAAGGTGGTACGTTAATAATAATAAAGATATCTTATCCCTTAAAGCGTTTTGCAGCTAAATTTGGCTGCGATTTACCACTACTCATGTGCCGATCTAAACTGTAATACAATGAAATTCCATGGAATCCTCTGCGGAAATCCTAAAAATTCCGCGGAATTTAGAACAATAGCTATCATTTAAGGGATAGGTAGGGTATTATTTACATTGTAACACAATTGTCGATAACTGGTAAAGATGGGTAAATCTTACTTTTATCACATTGTCACGTGATGGAGGCGTGAAAAGGAAGTAGACCGTTATTCCGTTCGTGCCGTAGGAACGTTTACATTAAAATTTTCGTGGTAATTCATCTTGGAGCCCATTCCCAATTATTATTGCACTTTTGGAAGAAATATTCGATTATGATTATTTGAATATCATATTATTGATTATCACCCATAATAAATCCATCATGTTGGAAATTTTATCCTAATGGAAAGTTATGTAAAAGCATCTTATGGATTCGAATCATTATAACAGGACTAGACGAACTACTCTGGGAGTAGTCCTGTTATGCTAATCAAGTTCAAATGTTCAAATTTGTGTCAGCCCAATTAAAAATATGTATAAACACTCATAAATTTATTCGCTTAATCACATATGTGATCATAATAAATAGAAACAAATAAATAAAAATAAAAAAAAAATAAACTTTGAAAAGGTATAACTCTTACTTTTTTCAGAACATAACGATTATATAATTAATTTAACAACGAAGTTTAGGTCAGGCCAATAGGATTTTCTGTTTAACAAGAATTTTCATTGAAAAAAGAGGGGAGGGGAGGGGAGAGGGGGGATTTAAAAAAATTGGTAAATTTTTGCTTTTTTTGGTATCTATCTAAATTAAAATTTTTGAGGGGAGGATTTTGTTAAACAGAAAATCAAATTGGTCCGGCCTTAGTTTATAATAAAAAAAGAAGGGACATCACCGACTGCATAATATCCATAATCGAACAAAGCGAAAAATTTGAAGAAAAGAGAAAGGATCAAAAAATTTTATTTTTTCATTCTAGATTCCGGAATGAAATATATATTAATCGAGTATAGTCCTTAAGGAGAATTCTGTAATTCCTCATCTTGAACGTTATCGACGTTTACTGAGATTGAAGTTGTATCATAAGTATTGTTGTTCGAATATACTTGAGAAGTAGGTTGAATACAGTCATATAACTGTGGTTGAATGGTGTTTTGTTGATAAACAGGTTGTTGGACTAGTTGTTGAATTTGTTGCTGAATTAGAGAATGTATATTATTATGGAGTGGAAACTGATGATCGGGAATATGTGATAAACTAATGCTATTATTCAAGCGTCGCGCATTTTCTAATGGATGTAATTCGGTATATTGATATGTAACATGATAGATACGTGTATCAATTGATGAAGGAAAAGGAAAGTAAAATTCAAATGTAACGTTTTGAGGCGCAGGAGTCGCACTATTAATGAAAGCACCCACGTTGTTGATTGGATTATTCTGTTCATTGCTATCACCCATTGATAAGTTAGAATAATCTTGTGCAGTTTGATTATTTGAAGTCATTTTTATAAAGCGAAAAATATTATAGAGAACCCAAAAGTTGGACTGGTTCAAAAATTTTGGTGGGTATATATACACTGGAAATGTTACAATACTTGTTGAATGTCGATCCATGTTCAAAATAACTAAAATAAGGTCATCATTCTATAATAGGTTATTACTTACGCCATCAACTCATCCAACTTATCCAACTTATCCTATTCGGGCTATCTCCAACTCAGGTCTTTCTTTTTCTATTTTTCCCGGTTTTTCTGTAGAAAACAATCTAAGAAAATTTTTGGAATAATTTGATAACCATTGAAACTTCTGTAAATAAAATATCTGTTTATAATACTACATAAAATAGTTTCCTTTTTTATCATTAAACTTACGTTAAATTGGTAAAAATAAGATATCTGTGGAGAACAAGTAAAAGTGATTGTCGTACAAATGATTTGACAATCAACATGTGCATAACGATAAATAATATACAGTACATATCTGAGATAATCTCAGAAAAAATTATACAATTTTCTGACTCTTGATCCAAATCATCAAATAGATTCAATAGATTCGTGATTGTTTCGGACTTATTTCATGAAGCATTTCGTCGATAAAATTTTTTTGATTAGAAGAATTGTATGCATTTAAGATTTAAATTATTCTTTCTAGATTGCAGAATCCTAATAAATCAGATATTCTGGCAAAAGTTCTGTTGAAATTCATCCAAATTCTATGCAAGTTATCGAAAAAATACGTTTTTATTCTGATATCCCCAACTATATATATTTATTGCTTCTTTTACTTTTAGCAAATAATAAAATAATTGTATACCTACGGAATATGAAAAAATTAGAATAATGCTACCAAAAAAAAGCTGGTGATTTTTTTTTTTGAAGTTTTATTTTGTTACACGAATAATTATTTACCATCCTCAATTTTTCAAGAGATAGCAGATAGTTCATAAGACGGCAAAAAAAAAAAAATTATAAAACATGGCAAAAAAAAAATTCTATATATCATCGAAATATTTTTATAATGATTTCATAAAAAACCTCTGGCTATTATTATATTATATTTCAGAAAAGTATTTATTATCCATAATAACCTTATTTTTTTTTTTAATAAATCAAGAAAACAATGAATACAAGCTTTTTATAATTTTTCGCATTAAATGTTTTGATTAAAAAATTCGAAAAAGTAGATTCTAAAAAGAACAATTAAATTAAAACGTTCTTTATAATACGATCGAAAAAAATAATAATAGAATTAATTTTTTATTTAATAAAAATTACATAATATAAAATTATAATTTTGCACGAACGGTTTGTGAGGATTTATCAAAATCAGCATAAAGTTGATCAATTATTTTTCGATAGAACTTGGTCATAGCTGGACGTTTTGTTTTAAATCTATAAAAAAAAAATTGAATTGGTTATTTTGATTTGATATTTAAGCGGGTATAAAAAATAATAAAATAAATTAAAAATTAAATTTTAATAAAATAATATTTACGTCGCAGTTATAATTCCATCTTCAGGTGTAAATGCTTTAGGTTCGACATAAATAGCCTTAAGACGTTCAAATCTTTTTTATATATATATAATTAAAAAAAAAAAATAATTAATAATCAAAATTTAAAAAAAAATGTATACTAGTTTCTTTTCTTTAAAAAAAAAAACTTACCCGTTTAATCCATATTTTATTCCAACTTGATTCAGATTATCTAAAAGAGCATCACATACTTCTTTATTTTTTACAAGTTCTTCAAACTCATATGTTTCTCCTAAAAGATCGTTTGCCCATGGAACAAATAATTCGGGATTCGGAACTGCGATACCAACAAGATATGATTTCAATGGATCCCCATAAACAAACAATTGTGCTAACAATAGATTTCTTAAGTAAATTTGTTCAATCTAAAAAAAAAGAAAAAAAAAAATTAATTAAAATTAAATCTATAAATAATTTTTCCTAAAAAAATTATAAAATATTTACTTTTTCGGGAGCAATGAATTCTCCTTGAGATAATTTAAAAATGCTAGTTTTACGATCAATTATAACTACACAACCTCTAGCATCAATATAGCCAATATCACCAGAATGTAACCATCCTTCTTGATCAATCGTTTCTTTAGTTTTCTTTTCATCTTTAAAATATCCAACCATAACACCTTTACCTCTAACACATATTTCACCTCGTGGAAAAGGTTTATCTTCACTTGTATATCCCATTTCTGGAACATCAACAAGTTTCAATTCTGATCTAAAGAAAAATAAATTCATCAATTTATATTTATATATATTATTCTTTTTTAAAAAAAATCTACAAATCAAACATAACTTACGAACAAACTGGAGGTCCAACATGAGATGGTTGTGCATCTCCAAACATAGTTGCACAGCCTAATCCTGTAGTTTCAGTTTGACCATAACCTTCTTGAAAAGAAACAGAAAAAGCGACTCTAAGAAAATCCATCACATCTTTAGCGAGAGGTGCACCTCCAGTACTAAAATATTTAACTCTTCCGCCAAAGAAATCTCTAAATTTGTTTAAAAGAATTCTATCCCAAATTGGATGAGTTACAGATCCAGTTTTTTCAAAATTTTCTGTTTTATCTTTGATTGCCTTTCTCGACAATGCACCAATAATTCCAGTTGATTCAATAGTATGACTTTTTAATATAGCAGCAACCCTATTAAAAATTCTGGGAACACTCGGAAATACATTTGGTTTTAAAACTTTCATATCATCAAATATACCAAATATATCTCCTCTATAATATCCAACTGGACATCCCCAAAAAATCGAAAAAACTTCAACGTTTATACCAAATACATGAGCTAAAGGTAAATAAGAAATATATACATCTCCAGGTTTTATTGGTGTCGCTACTGAAATCGAGGCAAACACTGCTACCATATTTTTATGAGACACCATCACACCTTTTGGAGCTCCTGTTGTTCCTGATGTATACGGAATTACAAATAAATCATCTGGTGTTGGTGGATTATATTTCCTAGGATTTTCTTTTCCTAATGTTTCAACTTCGGAAAATTCATAAATTTTTATATTATATTCTGATGCCCATCCTTTTACACATTCAGCCGTATCTTCTAATGGATCAATTGAAATTATAACTCTAAGTTGTGGAATTTTAGACGCTAGTTTTAACATTGATGTGATATGGTTTGCTGTCATACAAACAATTTGAAGTTCAGCATGATTCGTACAATATTCTATTATGTCATGTCCAAGTGTATCAAAAAGTGGAACTGTAATTAAATTATAAGCTGCATTTGCTTGAATAATTAATTGAAATTCTGGCTTATTAATTGACCACACTCCAACTGTGTATCTATCCTTTTTTCCATTCTTTACAACAGTATCGTTAATATGAACTAATCCACTTCCAAAATTGGTGAATCTTTCAAGAACTTTTTCATATGTTTCCCAAACATAATCACCATAGTTTCCTGTTTTATCATCAAATGGACGATATCCGAGACATGGTTTTTTTGCATGTCTACTAACAGCTATTCGAAAACATAAAAAAAATCATTAATAAATTATACGACGCAGTAATTAATTTAATACGAGAATTAATTACCGTATTGAAAGCTATCAAATACAGTGCTAACTTCGGGACATGGCTTTTCAATTAAATTTTCTGGCATAAACGAGTTTCTGTAGACACCTATGAAAAAAAAAATTTCAGTTTAAAAAATTGGGAACGAATTAATTTTAATTAATTATTCAACGGTTACCTGTTTGTCCGGGTCTTTTTGAATCAGGAACGACGACAGTTTGTTTATTAAAATCAAAATTAGCGAACATTGACATATTAATTGATTTTTTTCGTTGTGTAAAAATCAAAAAGAAAATTTTTTTTTTTTAGGTTCGTTTATATATATATATTAAATTTTAAATAATTGTGTGACTTAATAATCAATTGAAAGGGTTGCCAATTTTGGAATTCTGTACATCGGAATACCAGTTTAATGAAAGAATTGACTATCACGACTATCACTGCGGTAAAACTCCTGATTAACTGATGACAGCTAAATTAAGTAGTACCAGGGGTAATTGCGTAAGACAATAGTGCAAGGGTATTTGATAGAGAACGTCACGAATTACCGTTTATTCTTTTAAAAAAAAAATTTTTTTTCATTGCCAATCTTGTATAAAATTGAATTAGATTATCAGCGGTAAGACGAATACCAGTGGTGTAGGATCGACCACCTGTGTGGTGTATGGTGATATTTAGCAGTGTGTAACAGTGTGTAAAATAAGGGGTGTGAACCATACACTGGTGATGATTAGCATTTCGGCCCACTCAAAATCACGTGTTTGGCCCGTCGCGTTATTTATCACGTCACATAGGAGACCATACACTACACATCTCCTTGACCCTACACCACTCATCTCCGTAGCACTCGATTATCAGTGCGTTATTTGCGTTATTGTGCGCTAATAAAAATTGTGTAAATCTCCGACCAATTAGCGAATCCACATTTTACACGTTGTTGCTTGTGTGATAATTATAGGATTTGTAATTTTTTTTTTCGGACTTCGGATAATCCGGATAAATAAATAAATATATAGGCAAAAAAATTAAAAAATCCCTTATAAATAAGTCATTCCGATAAAAAATAATAATATTAAAAATAATAATAAAATGGTTTATAAACTATTTTTCATCTTTATTAATATTATTATTCTGTCAACTCTTACTTATTCAGTACCATATGATACAGTCGAAAATATAGACTATGATATTATTAAAGGACAAGATAATGAATTCTTTTGTCCAAATAATTCAAATGTAATTTGTTGTCCTCTCTTAGCGCATCGGGTTGCTTCTGAAAATCATTCACGATGCGCAACAATTATTCTCGTTAATAAGAGTGGTTATAATTTGACTTTAGAAACAGTCAACCTTGAAGATGGTCGTTGGGTAACGATGGAAGATTATGGTCGTGTTATTGATGTAAATTGTGAACCACGCTCTATTCTAAATGGTGAATCTGAAGCTATATCTACTGTTACAAGTCATTTTCTTGGTGGAGTATTAGGGTTTGTTACTTTTATTATGGATGATGATATGTCAAGCAAATTTATTATCTCTTGGGATGTTCCAACGATCGGATTCCCTGGATATTATTTTAACTTCATGGATGAAACATCTAAACATAAGTTTGCCATTAATTCTCAAAATACCTTTGGAGATACAGTTTTTCGAATTGAAATTTATGAAAAAATTCCTTGGACTTGGCCAACTATACCGTTATATTTTCTCGTTCCGTTTCTTATGCTTTCTATCGCTATACCTTGCTGTTGCATTTCAATTATATTCGGAGAAACACAATATCCACGACAAGAACAACGACGATCATATGTTCCTCAAAGACAAGGACAACAATTTCATAATAATCTCGTTAATCAACAAAGACGACAACAAGGACGACAATCTTATAATTCCATCAATAAACAAGCTTATAATTTCTTCTAAAAATAGAATTATAGACAGACATTTTTAACATTATTTTCATTTTAATGGTATTTATTTCAGAATGATGTATATTACAGTATATAAAAAAAAAAAAAAAAAAAAAAAAAAAAAANAAAAAAAAAAAAAAATACAAAAATAATAATTATTATTATACTATCCTTCTCGAAAATTAATCGTAACAAAATGGTATTTAAGTGTAATAATATGAAAAAAATTTTAGCGTGATCCCCGTTTGTGTTCGGAAAGCGGACGGGAAATTTTGGATGAAATCAGTATTATTGTTGTTGCCAGTCCACGCGACAATCCTATTCGGATTATTATTTGGTAATGCTTGGTTGCCATTCCACCAAGTGGAGGCAGCATCTTTGAGATATGCTGGTGCTTAGCGTCGTCACTTCCAACTTGATTTAATTGTAGGTCAGGATTGAATCCATTCAAAATCTTCAAAATCATCATCATTTAAATCATTATAATAATGTTTAACTATTCCTTTCGCTTTATATTTTTCAATTAAATCAAAATATTGATCAACATCCACATATTGATTCATTTGAATTGTTCGTAATAACATAGGATGCATAGGAATTCTATTATTCCAATTATCAAAAAATAATTTTAAAGCTTCTAATTCAGGGGTTCTACTATAATAAAAAAAAAATTTAAATTTAAATAAACTTGCAGGGGAAGAAATAGATAAAATTTCAAATAATTTACTCCAATTAAACATATAAACATCAATAACTAAACCATTTAAAAATTTACAATTAATTAATAAATTTTCCAATTCTAAAATATTCCTATTAAGTAAAGATAATTTAAGATATCTAAGATTTTTACAATTTTGATAAATGGCTCTTATAAGACTTTTATTATCATCACCTACAATACTAATTTCTGTAATATGACCTTTAGTACTTTGAATTAAATTTGTTAAAATATTTGAAGGAACTCTTTGAACTTTTAAAATTTTTAAAACTGGTAAAGATAAATTTTCTAAATGATTCCAATTTGTATTATAATAAGAATTAGAAGAATAAATTTCTAAACTTAATAAATTTACAAGGTATGAAAGAATTTTTGTAATAGGTTTCCAATAAATTCTTAAATGTTGAATTGTATCAGTATGTTTAATTAAAGATTCTTCAAGAGTTTTAAAAAATGGTACGTTTCTTATACTTGAATTATATTTTATATAAATAAAACGAACATCGTTTAAACCTTTTTGAGATTCAATTAATTTTATAACCCCAGAATTATTATTATGTTGTTTAATATAAAATATAAATTTTTTAATTGTTTCAATTATTTTAGATAATCCTTCCAAAATATTTTGATCGGTATTATCATTACAATAAATAGATTCAAGATTTGAAAAACAATATTCAACCCCTGAAAAACGATGTAATTGATAATTAAAATTTTCTGGGATAGTAAGTGATATAAATTTCTTATTCTCATTAATAAATAATTTTAAAATTTCATTTCTTATAATTGATATTTTATAATCTTCAACATTTTTTATACAAGTTAACATTCTTTCCAATAATTGTAAATCTAAACATTTCAAAAAATCAATATAATTAAATAAAGGTTTTTTTTGATCTGTTTCTTTAAAAAGTTCAATTTCTCTATTCTTTAAAAAATCCTTTGATTCTTTTGATAAATGTTTAACTATTACATTAAATAATGTATTTAATGAATTAATGTTATCGGTTGAATTAGTATGATATTGTCCTAGAAATCTCCATAAAATAGATACTGTTTTTTCACACCAAGTTCTATTAACTAAAAGACATGAATAAAGAGTTTTTTTATCATATTGTAATTCTTCCAAAATTAAAATGAGAACGTCTTCGTAGAGTTTAGTCATTTTAGACAAAAAAAAAAAAAGTAAATAATGATAATCATAACTCTATATATACTGATGACGATATTTGTATGACGAACTGGTTACATTTTGTTACATTTCGCCGAAAGAATTTTCCTATCCAGATTAGGTTAAGCTCAAGATGTGATGAACCTATTAAAAAACATTTGATTCATAATAACGTTTATAACATACAGGTTTTATTCTAGTAGAAATTGGTAAGACTTTTGTTATTAACATTATTAACATTTTATAAATGATTGATAGGATAAACTTTATGAGTTTGTTTAAACTTTGTAACTTGTTTCACACATAAGAAAATCGTGATAATTCTAATATAATTAATGTTTTTCCGGGTATTTGTCATAAACACTGTATAATTGGATTGCTCACGTACCAAAGTACCAGCCATAATGTTTCCATTATCTTCCCCTTTGTTAGATTCTTTAAAATAAATTAGACGGTTTTTTTTTTGATAGGTTCTACGACTACCCGATTCCCACCTTCGGCTATTTTGGTATTTTTCGTCTTACCTGAATAATATTTTATCGCAAAAAACTTTGTAAATCTGTTACATGATCGTCCAAGATCTAAACAAGTTGAATTATTAATTCCGCACGGATCAACATAACAACAATGAATAATAGTAATATAGTATCCTATCGAATTTATCACTGTGCTACCATACAAATTACTAGACAAAAACCGAATTATTGAAAACTGTTATAATATAAATATTTGGATGGTGTATTTAATTCTGGAATACTTTAAATATTTCCATAATTTTTTATAAATATTTAGCGAAACGAACTATTAATATCTTGCTGTTTCGGTAAATTTTATTAATAGGGTTTGGTTTTTTTTGTCCAATTAACTCAATCCTAAAATGAAGCTAATAATAAAGTTGCATTATTTGCATTGTTCAATTATTTCATCATATCCATCATATCAGGTGATCAAACAAATCGTGTTGATCCTACTGAAATTACTTCATTTCTCGTAATTTTAACGCCTTTGATCATCATTGGCTTAAGAAAATTCTTTTATTCTTAAACATAAATGGGATGATTTGCAATCGAATTAAAATATTAAAAAATACGTCCAAACTTCGACCGCATTTTTTTTTAAAAAATTCTCTCACATCATTTTTCCCTTTTTTTTTTTAAATTGTCGTTAATTAAAATTATTTAGTTACATATTTTTTTTAAATAATGGCAAATTTATTACCAAGGGAATCATTGGAACAAATTCTTTATCATTTTAAAAGTGATAAAAAAACTCTTGTTTCTTGCGTTTTAGTGAATAGATTTTGGTGTTCAACAGCATCTTCAATATTATATCAACGTCCATTCAAATTTCTTAATAATCCTTCCCCTAAACTTATTCGTACTCTTATTTCTTGTTTATCACAAGATTCAAAAGATTTATTAATTAAATCTCACGTTAATCCCGAAATTTTTGATTTACCTAATTCAAAATTAAATTATCCTTCATTTATTCGATATTTGGATTATGAATTAATATATAATTCAATATTTGAATTATTTAAAGAAATTTATGAAAAACAACAAAATAATAATAATAATAAATTGAATAATAATAAATTGAATAATAATAACGATAATAATAATAATTATTATTATAGTTATAATTATGGTATAATTACAAAAAGATTATTCACTATTGAATTATTTAAATTAATTATTTCTTCGACCTCTGTTATAAAACATCTTATATTAGATATACAACATATACAAGACGTGATTAATGATGGATTTATTAATTTTGATAATGATATTAAATCTATATTAAATACTTTTAATTCAAAATTTTGTTTATCTCAAATAAAAAAAATTGAATATGGTGGTATTGATGATTTGGAAATTATGAATTTATTAAAAAATTATTGTAATCAAATTAAAAGTTTAGATATTAATTTTTGTAATAGGATGACAAAATCTGAGATAAAAACTATTACTACTACTAATACTAATACTAGTAATTATATTAATAAATATAATTATAATAATAATAAATCAAATAATAAGTTAAATAAGTCGAATAAATCGATCAAGTCGAATAATCAATTATCAAAAGATTTAATTAATTCTCAATTTGGATTAAAAAAAATCACTTTAAGAGGAAGATATGAAAATTTAGGAAAATTATTTTCATCTATTGAAACTCAAATTCAATCTTTAACATTTTTGGAATTATTTGAATGTTATTTAAATGATAGAATTATTATGGAAATTATATCAAAATTTTTTAATTTGGAAATTTTGAAATTTATTGAATGTTATAATACCACTTATGGTAATAAGATGATTCCTTTAAATTTTAAAAAATTAAAAAGATTTGAATTTAAAAGAAATAATTTGGGTAATACCGATCCTTTATTATCAATCTTTAAAAATTCAACTGAAAGTTTAAAAGAATTGGTTTTAAATCAAAATGTTAATAGAATTATTGATAGACATTCAAGACATCGTCCAAGAGTGAATTCAATGTTGGTAAAATCTATTGGTTTATATTGTCAAAATTTATTTTATTTGGAAATTTTTATTACTCAAAATATTATAATTCAATGGTATGATACTTTAAAATTATTAAATAATTTAAAAAAATTATTTATAAATATTATAAAAGATTTATCAAATAATGAAGAATTTTGGATTAATACCACTATTAATTTACCTCCTTCTTTATCAGCTTTAACTATTCTTATTAATTATGATAATTATAATAATATATTATGTTGGATTATGGAAAATTGTAATATTAATTTAGAAATATTACAATTATTGGGTAGGGGTCTAGTTGAGCCAAAAAGTATTGAACATATTATTAATTATTATTATAAGTTTGGTTCTTTAAAACAATTGGCTCTTAAAGAGTATAGCTATACTTTAAAAAGGGAAATTCTTTTATACGTTAAAGATTTATTTAAGGTTTCTTTTATTGGTCCTATTGGTATTTATGAAGAATGTCCAAAACATTCTTCTTTAAATATTCGTTAAGTAATACCAAACGCTAGGTAAAAATTATTTGTTATTTTTCCTATGATATAATTTGATTTTATTTTTATTCAATTTTATATGTTTTTATCATAAATAAAACAATTTGTAATTATTGTATCTATTAAAGAAATAAAATAAATAAATATTTTCTTAAAAACAAAAAGTTTTCGGCGAAACTTATTAGAAATTAAAAAATTATTTCTAAATATTTTTACTATAAATTTATATGCTTGCTCTTAGCCAGCTATAGATTAACCTATAACTGTTTCTCCTGAATACCACGTAGAGGTGGCAAGCTTTTATTCAGGATAAAAAATATTAAAATGATAACTACAGGCAATGCTTTATAAGCAAAACCTATATTATCATTTGGATTATTATCCATAAAAAGTCTCACTTGACTTTTTAACCATATAATAATATACGTCCCTATATAAATTTAACTTTAAAAACGTTAGTACGATTTATATACAACTTAAATACAACGGTTTTAATTTAATCCCAAAAAAAAAAGTTAGTCAAAGAAATTTTTTGATCCAGAAGTCTTTTGGTTTAAGTATGTAAGTGTTGAAGTGCAGAATCAAACCATAATTAAATACAATATTCTAAGAGAATATTGCATTTAATTAATGGACGTATCAAAGCAACTTACATTTCAATATAAAAAATCGTATATTCTAATCTCCAATCCAATAAAATGTTATCCCAGCATTATAATCTTCATATTCTATCCTCTAATCCAATTAGAATGTAAGTGTTGTCGTGCAAAATCAAACCATAACTAAATACAATATTCTAAGAAAATATTTGCATTTAATTAATGGACATATCAAAGCAACTTACATTCCAATATAAAAAATTGTATATTCTAATCGCCAATCCAATAAAATGTTATTTCAGCATTAGAATCTTCATTGAATTCTATTCTCCGATCAATGAGAATGCAAGTGTTGTAGTGCAGAATCAAACCCTAATTAAATACAATATTCTGTGAGAATATTGCATTTAATAATGGACATATCAAAGCAACTTACATCCCAATATAAAAATTGTATATTCTAATCTCCAATCCAATAAAATGTTATCTCAGCATTAGAATCCTCGTATTCTATCTTCCAATCCAATTAGAATGTAAGTGTTGTAGTGCAGAATCAAACCATTATTAAATACAATATTCTAAGAGAACATTTGCATTTAATTAATGGACATATCAAAGCAACTTACATTCCAATATAAAAATCATTAATCTCTAATCTAATAAAATGTTAGCATTAAGAATCTTCGTATTCTATCTTCCAATCCAATTAGAATGTAAGTGTTGTAATGCAGAATCAAACCATAATTAAATACAATATTCTAAAAGAACATTTGCATTTAATTAATGGACATATCAAAGCAACTTACATTCCAATATAAAAAATCGTATATCCTAATCTCCAATCCAATAAAATGTTATTCTATCCTCAAATCCAATGAGAATGTAAGTGTTGTAATGCAGAATCAAACCATAATTAAATACAATATTCTAAAAGAACATTTGCATTTAATTAATGGACATATCAAAGCAACTTACATTCCAATATAAAAAATCGTATATCCTAATCTCCAATCCAATAAAATGTTATTCTATCCTCAAATCCAATGAGAATGTAAGTGTTGTAATGCAGAATCAAACCATAATTAAATACAATATTCTAAAAGAACATTTGCATTTAATTAATGGACATATCAAAGCAACTTACATTCCAATATAAAAAATCGTATATCCTAATCTCCAATCCAATAAAATGTTATTCTATCCTCAAATCCAATGAGAATGTAAGTGTTGTAATGCAGAATCAAACCATAATTAAATACAATATTCTAAAAGAACATTTGCATTTAATTAATGGACATATCAAAGCAACTTACATTCCAATATAAAAAATCGTATATCCTAATCTCCAATCCAATAAAATGTTATTCTATCCTCAAATCCAATGAGAATGTAAGTGTTGTAATGCAGAATCAAACCATAATTAAATACAATATTCTAAAAGAACATTTGCATTTAATTAATGGACATATCAAAGCAACTTACATTCCAATATAAAAAATCGTATATCCTAATCTCCAATCCAATAAAATGTTATTCTATCCTCAAATCCAATGAGAATGTAAGTGTTGTAATGCAGAATCAAACCATAATTAAATACAATATTCTAAAAGAATATTTGCATTTAATTAATGGACATATCAAAGCAACTTACATAGCCTTCGTATTCTATATTCCAATCCAATTAGAATGTAAGTGTTGTAGTGCAGAATCAAACCATTATTAAAATACAATATTCTGTGAGAATATTGCATTTAATAATGGACATATCAAAGCAACTTACATCTCAGCATTAGAGTCTTCGTATTCTACTCTCTAATCCAATGAGAATGTAAGTATTGTTGTGCAGAATCATTAAATAAAATATTCTAAGAGAATAAATATGTTATTTAATTAATGAGCAACTTACATCTGTAGCCTTTATTTTCTCTTTACCCATAAATCTGTATATATACTAATTTGGTACGTTATAACGTTATAAAAATACGCGTTCTAACGAATTATTTTTAAGAAATATTCATGAATACTACTTCATTTTAATATTACAATAAGTTATCAAGATATACTTAGCTGTTATTAGTAGCCTTTATTTTCTCTTTACCCATAAATCTTTATATATACTAATTTGGTACGGTATAACGTTATAAAAAACGCGTTCTAACGGATTATTTTTAAGAATATTCATGAATACTACTTCATTTTAATATTACAATAAGTTATCAATATATACTTAGCTGTGATTTTTCCTTATAGAAACAAGTCGTGTTTGTTGATGTTTTCACATTTTTTCTTTACATTTTATTTGTTTAACTTTTTACTCTTTTACTGAAAAAAAAATAAAAATGGAGAAAAAGACGATATATATCTCTCTGTGGGAAAAAAAAGCGATTTTATGAGTCATACTATATACTTCAGCCAATAGATCAGTAAGTTTAATGTATAGTTTTTATTTATTCTCCGCGATGATGATTGACGTAATTTTGATGTCACCGTAATTACTAATAATATGTAAATTATTATCAGCGGTCTAACGTATAATTTTTTTTTTAAAAAAAAAAAAATTGTTAATGTTGTCAAATATAAATTCCTATCATGAAAAATGAAAATAAAATTATCGATTGATCCTTTTCATATGATCTTATTATTCAAGTTCTCAATGATTAAACTGTTATTGAACACGAAAGAATATTATCATATTACACAAATGATAATACAGAAATATTTTACGTAACAGTGAAGCAAATCTTACAAAGCCATGGGCACGAAATATTGATTTCTATTTCCAGCAATGTTTACATCTTATTTTTATTATTTCAGGTCAATTAATTGACCCAAGTATTACTTATCATATTGTAACCGACTTACAAAAAAACCTACTAAGTCTTCGGCCGAATTTTTATCTCGCGTTTGTTACTTTAAAGAAAACAACACTTCAGACTATGTTATATCACGATGCTTTCATAGTTATTGTAGAGAATACTAATTACAATAGTACATCCTACTTGGTCTTGAAATTGAATGCATCCGAACGGTAGCTGATCATTTTGCCATTGAGAAAAGCGGTAATATCGTATAACCTTTCGAAATATGGATTCCGGCTTGTTTTTATGATTTGACTTTTATTTCCGTTTTTTAATTACATATGATTTTAGGAGCTCTGGGATTGGCTGGTGGTGCTTTTGGTAAGTTAACCCGAGCGACAGTAGAATATAATGGAAGGATAACATTGATTGAATAACATAGATTGAATCGATTCTCAATATCGTTTTTTGATAGGATTAGTTAACGGAATTTTTTATCTTGCTCTTCGGACAACCAAAAATTAATCCTTGGTAGGTCATAAGTGTTTTAATATAATTTGTCTTTAAGCATCCGACTGAACTTTAACGAAAATTATCTTAAAGGGCGTGGTGCATCGAATAGAAAAGTTGAAATTTGCAATAAATCCTACACAAGTTCCCAGTCTTTCTACTTCACAGAGGGTGGAGTGGTTAGAAAATAGAATTTTAGAATTAGAAAATATCTTGACAGATGTGCTTAACCCATCTGCCCTGCAAATAATGCGTTATGTATTGTCTCGATCAGAGTCTAATTTTGGAAATGATCGGTAAAATTGATTCCGTGCCAGTAATTGTTTCGTTACAAACCTACAACTTAGAATGCAATAAGAAATTTATCATTTAACAAAATGGTTGACTGTGAAGGTGACATGGCTGTTATTACGTCTTATATATGATTATATGATTGTCCTTTTGTTTGCTGTCTTTTTTAAGTAGCCCTAATTTTCAAATCTCTTCAATTGTAAGAGAGCAGATAAAAAAATTGAAACTATAGTGCCGATCCCATATTTACATAGGTAAATTCTTGAAATTTGCGTTTTAAGAGACTTATCTTTTTTGACTGTGAAATTGTTAAAGTGTAAATGGTATTTGATATTTTTGATTTTGAGCTAACAGACTCAACTTATATACGTTTAGTGGCGAGAAATTTTAATCAAATCCTTTTACTGCTAAAAAAAAACCGTGATAAACAAATGTGAGTTCTTTCTTCGGCAAATTATAATCAGCGATCAATATTAGTTTATTTTAAGTTTGCTTTAAAAAAAATTGGTTGATAATATCGTGGTAAGAACATTTACAAGTTCAATTTTGTACCACTTAATATGGGTTAATAAAACAATAAGAAATCTTTTAGCATATAATAACAGCCATATTTCCTTCACAATGATATCTGGATTTCTAAATTTTGTAACGGACCGAAGTTAAATAATGATTGCATATGAAGATCAGCTTCTATCGGACAATATGACAATGATAAACGAGTGACTAAAATCACACTCATTCACCTATGTCAGATCTTTCACATTTATAATATTTATCACGACTCCCACGATCAATTAACTGCCGCGGCGAACCGTTAATAAGCAAGACGTAATATATCAATTTTAAAAAATAAAATGATTTATTATTTTAAATTATCCAGGTAAACTATTATATTATTATTTCAACAATAAATAAAAATATTTATTCTACAAAAAAAATGAATATTTAACCCGTGTCCTTGCAAACATGGTTGACAGTCTATTTTATTAGTTAATTTATTTAATTTATAAATAACAATAATACTAAGCTCATCTTTTTCTGTCTCATTATGCGCTAAACGCTCTTCACTCTCATTCTAAAAAAAAAAAAAATTATTATTATAAACTTGTTCCATTCTTTTAAAAATGTATTCCTTATACATACCTGTAAGTCATAGTTAAATCACCAGAAAATTTCCATATATGAGATTTAATAGTAGCCAATGTCATAGTAGGAGATAACACCTAAATTGTAGTCAAAAACATAAAAGATATTAATACTTATTCTAATATACGATACTTTTCTTTCATTTAAAATAAAAATTACCTGATCCTGGCAAATTAATTCTAACCATAATTCAGGTTTCATAGCGTTATTTCTTTCTTCTTCAGCTTTAGTAGCAATTTGCCCTGTATTATTTGCTTCCTGATCATTATTATTCGCTTCATTACTATCATTTAAAGATTTTTCGAGATATTCACTAGTAGCAGCCGATTCTGTTACCGAATTACTATTATTTATAGGTGAAGTTGACGGTTGATCTAATTCTAATTTTTCTACTATGTATGCTAATATTTTCCTTGTTCTCAACATTCTATTTGCTGTTAATCGAGCATTGCCATTTGGTAATTCGTCTAACTCCGAACCTTCATGTGGCTTCAATATAAAGCTAATTTTTATGGGCTCTTTAGCCGGTATTTTATTCTACATAACAAAAAAATTGAGTGTTAATAATTTAAACAAAATCTCCCCTAAATCTCTCTCTCCTCACCTACCTTAATGAGAAATTCGATTAACCAAGTAGGAGCCTTTTGTTCGATAATCTCAGCATCTCTTTCCATATCTTCAACAGTACCTCTATATAAATCAACACTAGTAGAAGCTTCATGACTTTCTTCGCTTATTATCACGGTAGTATGTTGTGGTAATTGTAATTCAGGAGTTTCATTAGCCGGGTATGTGACAAATGGTGGCTGTATTAATGGATGCATTTGTCTTATTGGATAATAATGATGTGGATGATGTGGATGATGATATAGTGTTGGTGTTGGTATATTTTGTGATGATGATAAACTTGCTGTGGCTGTATCATCAATTGTTTGTTGTTTTTGAGTAATATTTTCTTCTTGAGATTGTCGTTGTTTCGCTTCATTACTGCCAGTAGTAGTCGAATTTTTTGAATTACTAGTAGTATTTCCTGTATTGCCTCCACCATTGTTACTAGTTTCTTCCGGCTTATTACTATCATTTCTAGAAATTTTACCACTCCTCAATGTATGTTTAAATTTATTCATAAAACTAATAGATACACTATTAGTAGTATTTTGATTAACAAATGCAGGTGGTGGTGGTTGTATAGTAGTAGTAACAACACTACTACTAGCAGAAGTAGAAGCGCCAGTATTGTTTCCATTATTATTGTTATTTTCTCCTTCGGCAACTTTGTTACTGGGGTTACCAGGAGGAGTGGTTGGAGAAGTAGCGGGAGAATTTAAATGATGTGATCCACTAAAGTAATCAGATTGTTGTGAATTTGTTGTTGCAGGTGCAGTAAATGGACCAGTCGTAAATGCTGCTAAAGGTGTAGTTGGTGATTGTGGCAATGGTGGATTAATATTACCACTAATAGGATTAGGATTTGTTGTGGTTGGTGATGTACATGTTGATGATGTTGCTGCTTGTGGTGGTATATTTACATTTACTTGTGTTGTAAATAAACTATTACATTATTAGAAAGTAATATTAGTATTAATTAATTATCTTTATTTTCACAACCTCGTCACCTTCATACCTATTTCCCTGTCGTTGTTGTTGCATTAATTGTCGTTGTTGTTGTATTTCTTCATATGTTTGTATTTCTGCCTGAGTAAATTTTGCAAATAAATATCTTAATACCCATCTGCCAAGATTAACTATTGCAAATAAGAGAAGAGTGGAAAGATCAGTAATTATAACAGAAATCGCAAAAATGAAACTAATATAAAAATTTAATTCTATTTACTCCTCTGATCATCTCGTATTTCTACATCATCTGATAGATCTGCTTCATCCGCATACATTTCTGCATCAAAACATTTACTTTCATCTAAATGCACCGTTAACGCCTATTTAAATAAATAATGAAAAAGTTGGTAAATAAATTATATATTTACCAAACCACATTTATTACTTACACCAATTCTTGTATCAACGGAACACCAATTTGGTATAGATTCGGTTGTATTGATTTCTTGAGCAATTTCATCAATATTACATTTACCATAGACTTTAACTCTAACACATTTTATAATGTCCCATAAAGTAACTTCACCACTATTATCTAACGTAAGTATATTTCTACGATTATTCAGCATAACATATTTAATTAATCCATGTTGTCCTTTTATTATATGATCGGGTTTTTCTCGAACAGGTATTGGATCTTCATAATCTATATCAATGTAATGGTCATCCATCGCTACGCTATATATAGTTGCCACTTCACTATCTGATGCTATTATTGGTGGCGATAATGATGTAGTATGAGTAGGTGAGGATGTTACGGCTGATGTTAATTTTATTAAAGATGACGATGGAATTTGTGACATATTTTGGGAAGATGTTAATGTAGATGTTGATGTTGGTGGTGACGACGATATTGAAATTTTTCTTCTATTTTTTCTCATTGGTATATCTTGCTATAGAAATGCGAGAAAGTAATTAATTGAAATTTGAACTTAAGAGAAAATACCCAAAATTACGTTACTTACCCATCGCTTAATGCCTGAATCATAAGTTGCCGTCCATATATATTTATTATCAAAAGCAACAAGCTAAACAAATCAAGAAAAAAAACATTAAACTTTTTTTTTTTAAAAAAAAAAAAAGGTTTCCTTATTCCTCGTTTATTTACCTTGACAACTCCAGCATCTTCTTTGCAAACGGCAATACATTCTCCGTCACTGATTTCCTCACACTCACTATAATCTGTACGAGTAATCAGTCCATCTTTGCTCCCAGAATAAAATACTTCTAATCTGGGATGATCAGAATACAATGACCACACTGAATCTGAATGTATCGTAAATGTATTAATACATCTTTGTCTTGATAGTGACCACAATTTTATAGTGGTATCTGATGAGCCGCTTAATATTAATTCTCCATCGTCACTGATTAATAATGCTCGAATGTTATCTGTATGCCCTAATAATTTGGTTATTCTTTTACCAGATTTTGGATCCCATACTTTAATAACCTGCGATAAGAGGAGAATGAATGTCAAAAAATAATAAAAAATAAAAAAATAAAAATTTTAAATTACCTTCTCGGGCGACCCAGATACGAGAACTGATCCTGATGGATTACACGCCAGCGCGTATATCGAAGATTTAGGCGAATTTTCAGCTATTGTAACTAAAAATAAAAATAGAATAGAAAATTAAAATTGCCAGCTTTTTTCCTTTTTCCCTATAATCATCAACTAATTAAAATACCTATAGGTTGAAACTCTTTTTCCGAAAATCCTGCGAGACTACTAACACTTGATCCTGATGATGACAGCGGTCTACATTCTTTAACATCCCATAAAGCAATTTTTCTATCAAATCCTCCGCTCGCTACCCATCCAGGTCCTGAAGCATATGCCAATGCTTTTATGTAATCTGTGTGATATCCTATTGTATGTGGCGCCGATGTTTTATGAGGATGCCATAATTTCATTGTTCTGTCTGATGAACATGATATCACTAAGAGAGAATAGAATTAATGTTAGAATTTTTTTAAAAAAAGAATCAAATAAGTAAAAAGGAGAATATAAATTTAAATAGAAATATTTACATGTTTCATTATTGTGACATAGTATTATATCATTTACCCAATCCGTATGACTCTGAAATGATTGTCGGAATGTTGATTTTGGTGTTGGTTGCTATAATTATTATTTATTTAATTTTTTTTAAAAAAAAAAATAAATAAATTTTTCGAAAAGGAAAATTTTAATTTATTTATAATAAATTCCTACCGAACTTAATGCCTCTTCATCAATTTCCCAATTCTTTTCGTCATTAAATTTTTGTAAAGGTACGTCATCGTCATCATTCTCTTTCTTCTCACCTTTATCATCTTCAGCTTTATTAATACCATTCAAATTACTATATCTTGGCATAATTTGTTTCCTTAAAGGCAAATGTAAATCCCATGAATTAATCACACCATCTCTTCCCGCACTATATAATATTCCTTCCGGTTTACCGGATGAGCTAAGTGTAGTGGTATCTAATGCTAAACTGTTTATACCTAGTAAATGACCGTGATCATCCTTATTGTGTGTTATTACGTAGCTTACTTTACGCTTTGCTGCCCTTCTCATAATTAAATTCGAACATGTATTGTTCTTATATGTATTAAAAAGATTGTTTTTACTTATTTGGTGATTTAATAGACTAAATAAATTAAGAATACTTAAATAAATTTAAAAATTTGATTATAAATTTATTATTGTAATCAAATGTTTGATTTGTATTTTCATAAATTACATTAAATTAAATTAATCAATTTTTCAATTTATTTAATTAAAGTTACTTTTCTAGAAATTAAAAAAAAATAACAATGATTCTTTATCTTGTCGTTTTTTAAAATGTTTTTATGAATTACAAAAATTTTAACTTTTTCTCTAAAATATTCAAACTTTGAAGAAAGCGGGAAATTTGATCCATAAAAAATTTTTTTTTGTGTCACAAAATGTTGTACTAACAAACGGTACGAAATTGTATTACATTACTTTTAAAGCACGTGAAAAGAATTTCGGAAATTTCCGTATTTTTTTGACCAATTAGAAATATATAAAAAACGTGATGTAGTTTACACGAAGTTACAGTAGATTATCTCATTAAATCGTGAATGATTACTTAGTTGTTTATTTTAACACGTTGTTTCTGATTCTTTTATACATCATCAACATTTTTCACGAAGTTTAATAACTGTACTTTTTTTTACATCGTCTTGAAAAAAATTTTTTATTTTCTCTTCTTTTGTGTAAGTTCTCGAATAAAACTCCTCCTCTTTATTACACCTCGTCTTACCTTGTCCATCTTTGTTTCTCTTTACTTAGTAGGCGAACAATATGAGTAATACACGAGGATCTATTAAAAAGTCAAATTCACGTTCAAGCTCTGAGAGCTCGAATAACTCTAATTTTGATGAGCAATACAGAGACGCGTCGCCAATCAGCACAACAACGACAGACTCATCAGATGATGATAATGGAACCGCACGCGATACTACGCCGACCACACCCACTACACCCACTAAATGTTCTCCATTCAAAGCAAACAAAGAATTATCGCTGGTATCACAAATTCTAATAACATCACCTCATTTTCCGCTACCCTCACTACCCTCAGTAGCTGTATCTAAATCAACCTCACAACGAACAGCTTCTGACAATATAGAAGATTTTAATCATTTTCGTAAAATGAAAAAGCGTATCTATTGGACATCTTTGGAATTAGAAGCTTTGGAGAACGGTATGAAAGAGTTCGGCACTCAATGGGCTAGAATTTTGAGGTCGTATGGTGGAGATCATGGTCCTTTAAGAAACCGAAATGCCGTTCAGCTAAAGGATAAAGCGAGAAATGAGAAACTAAGAAGAATTAAGTCTAGACTAGATTTGGGTATATTCCATATGGCGACCGGTGGTGGTGAAGATATTACGGAAGACGAATTGGTGGAAGATTCAAATCTTTAGATCTTCTTTATCTTACTGTGATTGAATATTTGTTTTTTTTTAAGACTTGTATTTTTTATAAATTTTAAATTTTATTGTCTTTATCGGGCAATTTTTTTATATAGGCTAGTTTTTTTGCACTAATATGAAATTTTTTGAAAAAATTTTGGTTGGTTAGAGTTAGAAAATAGCGTATCCAAAAAACAACATTTCTTTTTAATTGTCATGTTTGAATTCTTTTCTCTAAAAATCAAGTTATTCGCAATAAAAGTTCTTATTCGAATTATGAATGAATATATTTGGTCCGGATTACTTACAATTTAGTTATGATGATAAACGAATTTTTCCTAAGATAGTTAAATTTGTTATTCGTTAAACATCTCACAGCGTACCTACATACAACTCATATTAAAGGTAAGATTTGATATAATCGATTGGATACTGCTACATCAACACGAAAAATTTAAAAATTTATCTGATTAATTTTGAACTATAAAATTCCATTATTTGTGTCCGATTGTCGGTATTGTCGGTATTAGAAGAAATGCCCATTATAGTTATCTTCGATTAGTTCAAATTATTATTATGATAATATATGAACTTTTGTTGTGCGCTTTATACCTTGTGCACATGTATTATCAAGAAAATTAAGGAGTGAACATTGAATTCCAGATAAGATCTTGTATCCTATTCTCAGAAAATTCTCTTCCTTATCGTAAGCATGACAAACTGACGATTAGTCTTGAAGAGTTGAATGGAAACTTGTGCTTCCGATATCATAAAATCAAATTAATGTTTGCCGAGAAGGTGAAGATAGTACTAGTCCTAAAACATTGGACAATGAATTGTACAAGATAGTCAAAGGTATTTATTACTTAGTCTGATTAACTTCCTTATTTATATACTTTCGATTCCTAACATAATTTTTTTAAATAAAAGCACTTTCCTTAAGAGTTTAATGTGAAACTGGAATAGTTGAAAGTTAATTTATAATGTTTAAGCGGTTTTCTAGAATAATTGTTTAAATCTGTTATAGAAACACTTTATTATCCGCTAAATCCACTAACTCGCTGCTAGAAGGAGTAATCACTGAAAGAATCGAAACCTTTTTGCCAAGTTCTTAGTAACTACTCCTGGTTATAAAATTTTATTGCTAACTTGGGTAAGTTTGTCATCAAGAAGAATTGTTGATATAATTCAACATTATATTACCGCTCATTTGTGTTAATCGTTATTAATGAAAGTATGAGTCTTCTGACCAGAATTTCCAGGTAACAAGATAATAATAAGATTTTTAAAAAGTTCGTAAACGATTATTTAGTTAGTTACCAATCAATGTTCGCTATCATGACATCATCTCAAGCTACGTAGGATTTTAGACGATAATATTTAATCTCTCGTGGACAGATTGATGACCTACCCGAATATCGTGAATTTGTAAAGAATTGCCAGAGACTTAAGCTTATTTTATGATAAAACCAAAATTTTAAATTTGTTCAATGGTATTTCAATCTTTTTTTTCGTTTAACCATTTGTACGACAAAGTACTATCCAATTTAAGATAATTATTTTAATTATATAACATAAAAGAAAAAAGGATTTCTATTTTAGGAGTTTATTGATTATTTAATTCATATGATAAAGAAAGGATCTTCTAATTGAAAATTTACTTATAAACGGGCTTTATAATTATCCCATGCATCCGTTATCATTTTGCTACGAATATTATAGCTCATTTAAAAATTAGTGATGTCTGAAGAAAAAGTTACTACTGATATTATTACTTTAACTCGTCACGTTCTCGACGAACAGCGCAGACATAAAGAAGCTAGTGGTGACTTGACTTTATTATTAAATGCTGTTCAGCTTGGATGTAAATTCGTAGCAACTAATGTTAGAAAAGCTCGCTTATTAAACTTGTAAGTCTCGAATTTTGTCATTAATGTAGTTCTATTTAATTCAATTAAAAAAATTAATTTGATATTATCACTCACTGAGAAGCTCTTTTTAAAAAATTAGAGTTGGACTTGCCGGTGGTGCAGTTAATATTTCAGGAGATGAACAAAAAAAACTCGACGTCATTTCCAATGAAATTTTTATTAATGCACTTCGTTCATCAGGGAAAGTAGCTGTAATGGTTTCCGAAGAAGATGATGAAGCTATTATCGTTGAAGATGAGATGAAAGGAAAATATTGTGTCGTTTTTGATCCATTGGATGGTTCTTCTAACATTGATGCTGGTGTTAATGTTGGTACTATATTTGGTATCTATAAAATTGTAAGTGTAATATATTATATTTATAAGAGAATTTTATATTTTCGAGACAAAAAAACTGTCTCTTATTTAAAAACCTTCATTTTTAGAAAGATGGATCTAATGGAACAATTTCGGATGTCTTGAGACCTGGTCGTGAAATGGTCGTTGCTGGTTATTGTATGTATGGTAGTTCTGCTAATATGGTCATCTCAGTTGGTAATGGAGTAGATGGATATACTCTTGATAACGTAAGTTTACCTTCTTGAGGAGCTTGTTAATTAAAACATTCAAACACACACTAAAATTTTCTAAAACTATTTTAGGCCATTGGAGAATTTATTCTCACTCATCCTAACGTAAGTATCGGGATCTATTATCTTCAAAATTTTCCAAAAGCTAACTAACTATTCCTTTATTTTTTAGATTAAAATCCCAACACGTGGAAAGATATATTCAGTTAATGAAGGAAATGCTAAATATTGGGATGAATCATGCACGGAATATTTTAATTCATTGAAATTTCCTCCTGAAGGTAAGAATCCATATTCAGCGAGGTATATTGGATCAATGGTAGCAGATGTACATCGTACATTATTGTATGGTGGTATATTCGCGTATCCCGCTGATAAAAAATCTAAAAACGGCAAGTTAAGAATGTTATATGAATGTTTTCCTATGGCTTTCCTTACTGAGCAAGCTGGTGGTAGAGCTATTACTGGCAAAGAAAGAGTATTGGATATTACTCCTCAGAAGATTCACGATAGATGTCCTATTTTTTTGGGTAGTAAAGACGACGTTGAAGATATAGAAAATATCTATAAAAAACAGTGCTAAAGGGGATAAATTAAGAAGAAATCGAAAAGTATTTAATTCTACATTAGATAAATAAAGAATTTGTATTTACAAATTATAAATATAAACTTTAATACGATTAGTTAACTTCCTTTCAAATGATAATTCTGTAAAATTTACAAACTCAGTAAATTAAACCTTAAAATTATAATTTTTTTTAATTCAATAAAATAATGACATCAAACCAGAACTCGTATAATGTGTTTAAGGAAGAAATAAAAAAAAAGATTTGGATTTTAATGAACTTTAACTTGTTGAATAATAATAATAGTTATATATAAATTAAATTCACAAACTTATAAGTGTATTTATTTTTATGAACTAATACACTAGTTGGTTTACTGATTTATCAATACTAAATAGTTAGTTTGTTAATGTATTTTCTTAAATTGTATTGTTTTTTTATATTTTTAAGTAAAACATAAAAATAAAGTTAAATTTGTTTATAATATATATATATATATTTGTTTTGAAAATATTTTTCTTTAAATGTTTTTTTTTTTGATTTATAAAAGTTAAAAAATTTATAAAATATTTCAACTTTACTAAATCACACCATTGGTGCTCAATACCATAGTATGCATTTTCATGAAAACTATAGCTTAAACTGAAGAAATCACTCTAATTAAAATTGTTCAGCACCTTTAAAAATAATTAAAAAGTTTACTTAATACTTTTTTTTTTAATATCACAAAAAAATTGAAAAACTAAAAAAAATAATTAATTTCTTAAAATATTCAAATAATAATAATAATAATTTAATAAAAAAATAAATTAAATTAAAATAAATTAATTTTAAAATAATATTAAAATAAATATATAAATAATTCATTTTATATTAAACTGTAGAGTATATATTTCAGCATTAAATATTGCAATATAAATTATATTTTATTAATAGAAATATCTTAATTAGACTATTAATAATATAAAATAAAAAAATTATATAATAAATAAAAAAATAATTAATACATATAACTGTAATATTAAATAACAGTGGTATGATTTATAATTTTTGAAATATTTAATACTAATTGAATTTAATAATATTAATAAATATTTTTTTTTAATTATTTTATTAAAAGTTAAATAATTTATATAATTAAAAAAATTTGTAAAATTTACCTATATAAATAAATTCCAAATTATGTAATATAATCTTACTTTCAGTTTATCATATAATATTAAATAAAATAGAAAATTTGCTTTTTATAAAAAGTAAAATTTATATAACAATTATATAATTTTAGTTAGTATTATAGATTTATAGTCAATTTAATGCAAAATAACAGGTTATTTAATTAATAAGAAAAATTTTTTTCTTATTTGATTTTAAAAATATAATATATTATTTTTAATATAAATATAAATTCAATATTTACTATATATATTTAATCTTTCCTTAAGAATATTAATAATTTGCTAAAAAAAAGACTTTAATTTCTTTTAATTTTACTATTTTTTTAAAAAAAACTACAGTATCACAGGTCAAAATGCTAAAAATCAGCAAAAAAAATGGCATGAAAAGCAGTGGCTATTCAGGACCCCAAAAAATATATATGGAAGTCATAAATGATCGGCAAGATTTTGGCCTAAAATAAGCAATTTTTCAGGGCTGGAATTATGATAATGCTAGCCAGTATCAAAACGAACAATAAAATTTAGGCCAGCACTATCTAAAAAAGGCAAGATTTTCATGAAAATTTAGGTTCTTTTTAAGCAAACTCAAATGTGACCTTTTTATGTATTTTTCGGGATCCTGGCTATTCTTGGCTGTTTTTGGCTATTTGCGAATTAATCTATACTATTTGTAAATAGTTTATACAAATTTGTGAATAGTTTATGCAATTTGCACCATTTTTTTGCCTGTTTTTGGTCATTTGACGTGTTTATATTTATAGATTTATTAAAGTAGTAAGATAGAAATTATATAAAATACAAAAAACTATATATTATTTTGATATAAATCACTTATTATTTATTTAAAAAACCTTATATATATACTGTTAATCATTTTAGTTCTATAAGTATAACATATATAAAATGAATATTTTAGTATAAATATTTTATATTTTACATTTAGTAGACTATAAGATCCACTTAATTTTACTATAAATAATAGGATAAATTTAGATTTTTCTTTCATATGTGATATTTAAATCCTTTATTTTAAAAAAGAATATTTTATATACTGATCATTAATTCTGGCCAAAATTAAATATATCATATAATTTAATAAAAAAAAAACTTTGGAAAAAAAGTTTTACTAAAAGTTGCAGAATAAAGAAAAATACATATATTAAATATTTTTAAAAAAGTTTATTTATATATTAAGAATTTCTTTTTTATTACAAGATGTAAAATTTTAACATTATATAAGGGTAAGATATATATTTTTCCTAAATAATATATATAAAAAATTCTTTAATTTTGGGCAGATCATCATATAATTTTGCAGCCAAATTGATTTACATTTTAACCATAAATTGTATGAGTTAGATATGCAGTTGATTATTAAAATTGAATAAGAAATTAACCACAAAATAGTATCAGAATTTTTATATAATAAAATCTAAACTTTTTTTACCATATTTTTTCTCTATTTGAATATTTATTATAACTTTTTTTTTCATTATAAAAATTTTGCATTTTAATAAACAAAATAAAGATAAAAAATTAATTTTATGTATATATATATAATTAAAATGCATAATAAAATTTTTATTAAAGTTCTATATAAAGTCAAAATCCTACTTTTAAACATCAAAAATCATATTAATAAAAGTTGTTTCTCAATTTTCATACCAAATTCTATATATTCTATTAAGCTTTTATATAGCTATAATTAATTATATTTTAAAATACAACTTTTGATGACCAGTAGAAAATTTTAGATTTTCTAATAAATAATTAATAAATGATAATAATTGCTGTACTAAAAATGTTAGCCTTAATTATTTTTTAAAAAATTTTAAATTACGGCTATAAGATTTTTATAGTTTTAATTACGGTATATAAAAATTTTGTGTTACAGCCTTTTTTTGAATTACGGCTAACATCTTTATACTGTACAATATATAATTTAAACTATTTTGGAATAAAATTTTATTAAAATTGCTTTATGTTTCATAAAATTAGATGAGAGCTAAAATTTGGTAAAATTGCAGGCAAATTTACCTGCAATTGCTTACAGTTTAAAAAATAATATGATAAAAATGTAAAAAATGAATAGTAAGAATACAAAAACCTTTATTTTAGGAATAAATAAATTTTATTTAAATAATAATAATCTTTTTACCTTAAAATATCAAATAATTCTGTTAGAAGTATTTTAAAAAGTTTTAAAGTTAATACATATAAAAATTAAGAAAAGAAGCAAGAAAATGAAAAGTAAGAAAAGTAAAATTAAATAAGTTTTCTTAGAAATGCTGTTATTCTTATTAATAAATTAATACAAAACATATCATAAAATACATAATAAATAGTATAATTTTTTATTTTATTTAGTATTATAAAATTTTTTATAATATTAGCCTGTTAATAATTAAAGGACTGAAAACTTTAATACTTTAATAGATTAATTAGAGTTATTAGAAAACTTTTATCTCAAATAATTATATAAAAATATATTGAATATTTAGTAAAGAAAATAAAATAATGTAGAATCATATATATAATATAAAATATAATTGATAAAATTAAACTATCTTAAATTATATTATTGGAAACAAGTACTTTAATATAAAATTTGACTTCTGATTTTCTTTTTTTAACTGAGTAAATCCTAATACTATTTATAGTAAAAGTTATAAAAAATAATAAAGAAATTAAATAAAATAAGTATAATAATAATTTAGCAATAAATAAAAATTAATAAAATAAAAAAATTAAATAAAATAAAAAAATTAAATAAAATAAAAAATTAAAAAAATGAAGAAAATCAAAAAAATTGAGATCTACACAAATTATTGTATAATAAATTGTATATTAAATAATAAAACTCATTAAATTTATATTAGTACTAATATATTATATTAATAGAATAATATTTATTATTTATAATATTTTTTTTTTTGTTATTTATAATTATTTCATAAAATTTAATTATGAAAATTTTTTTGTAATGGCTTTTATTTTTCTTTAATAATTGTGAAACTTCATTATAACTGTTAAATAATTATATAATTATAGAATTTTGCTATAAATTAAATCAGTCTTAAATCACTTCCTTAAAATTTATATTTTACATCAATCATTTTTTTTCTTTAAAAAAAAAATTATTTATATTATCACTTTATATAGATTTTATTTATTTGGATATTATAGAATATAATAACCAAGTTTTTTACATTCTTGATAATGTTTCTTGTTTTTGATTGTAACCATAATTTACAAAATTATATAATTATATAAAATTTACTAATAGGTTAAATCACCCAGATTAAAACACCCTGAATTAAAAATTAGTCTTATACATAATTATAAATTGTTTATTAATATTTAATATGCAAATTTAAGTATACAGTATGAAGTAACTAAAATTATTAAATGTATAATGCCTTTTTATCTTCCAACTTTTTATCTTTTGTTACTTTATTTTAGCAAATGAATTTACTATTATTTTAACCTTTTCATTTCCAATATCAAATATTGATTAATTGCTATATCACTTTCTGATTATTCAGTAATATTAATTTCATATATTTCTCAAAATATTCCTTTAACTTACTTCTTACCAAGTATATGAGAAAAAAACCCTGTCAATCCATACCAGACAAGTCTGTGCGACATATTAGTTTCGCGTATAATCGAAATGAAGTTACCAGTACCTCTATTTTTTTCCCGAATAAATGTGAGAAAAGGTGAAAAATGCTTAGTTATGGTACAGGGGTTGCCACATAAGTAAAATAATGACAACAAAAGTATATGTTATGAAGGGCCGAGAACTTTGTAATTTCGAGATCTACAAGAGTTAACTGTCTTTGCGTCTTGCAGGGTAGATCTTCATGTGAAGAGGTATGAAATTTCCATACTCGTGTGCTTTCAAAGCTTTCTTGACATCATACGATAATGTTAATCACTTATCTCCTTATCTTTTTCCCTAGCAAGATATAAAGCACGTAGGTAGGTGTATGTGGAAGATCAGCCAACTTTCCCACAAAAAACCTTCTCACAAAAAAATTACCAAGGATAGGTATGTATATGCCAGAAATCATGTTTATATGCAAACGAGTTTTTCTCACTATGGGCTCTTGTATTTAGGAAAGCAAGATGCCTTCCCCCTCCACTCTAGCTGACAGGTTAAAAGAATATGAAACGGAAAGTTTTATCAATTTTTTACGGGAAGATTCCAAATTAAGACACAGAACTTGGTGATAAATTTTTTACGAGGCTTTGAGAAGGAAAACATCACCGGACATTTATTTCTTAACCAGACAGGAATGGAGTAAAAATGAAACTTGAAGGAGCTGTGCGAGTAATTTATAATGTTATAACTGAATTCTAATGCGCGTTGTTCTTACGGTCATTATCTTTGGTAACAGATGATCGATGACAAACAAATTTAGCGGATTATCTTCCCCCAATAAATAGAATTTTTTATTCGCATCATGTAACAATTGTAACATGTTAGTTGTTGTTTCGGCAACGTTATATTATGATATTGATGTTGCAGAAATGAGTGGGAATAAAGCTAACAGGGAGTTAGTTCGTTTTTATTTTCAGTTTGGAAAAGCTCTATCAAAGCGACTCGCTATACTTTTGCAAAGCAATCCGCATACAAGGCTGAACAAAGAAGTCAAGGAGGAAAATATAAATGGAGCTATACGCAAGAGAAAAGAAAAATTTATGACATCTTTAACGTGATAGGGGAAGATAAGATTCATCGTATCAAATCCTTTACTGCATCCAGCTTTTCAGATCTAATAAGAAGTGAGGTCGCACTATATTATAAAAAATTTCGAGATTAAAATTACTGCGTCCTAGTCACGTGACTCTGTTCTGAATAATCTGTATGCGTGTTTTTACAAGTGGTGTAATTTGTATTATCCGTGTAATTTGTACGGCAACCTTGTTCACTCAGAGAAACGAAAATAAAATTCACAAGTGATATTAATGAATATTACATGTGCTTCTGTATTCTATTACAATTATGAAAAAACAATAGCTAGGTTTGCACCCTGAAAACTTTTAGGTGAAATTTCTGGCGAAGCTTTAACTAACTATGAATGCGGGAGTGAATAATAGGACTAATTCTGCTCGTCTGAACCAATTCCTTTGAAATCACCACCGCCGTAATTAATAGTGACATTGGTAACATTCGCACTTTGTAAAAAAGAGGTGTTACAGGCCTAGAAACCACAGGTGTTTCTACAGATGATGTTACTGGTCTTGACACCGCAGGCGAATCCTCGGATTATGCAACAACTGATGATTCCTTAGGCGACCGTTCAGATCTCCCTGAAGAAGAACTTGATTGTCGAAGCTTTAGATCCAGAGATTGGCGAGGGATCCGTAGATGCTTCTACATGTGATGATGATGATGTCATACTCGCCCGCTTAACCTCCTAACGCTGTTCGATTGTCGCACAGACCTGTCACATTAAATATACGTGACTCTTGAACAAAGTACGGATGATCTTTATCTGTTATGTCGGCACAATCATTGCGTGCAATGCATTGGGCGTTGAGCATCTATACCTAATCTTAAAAATAGTAACTAAAAATGAGTGAAATTCCGGCTTGTTTTTATATACTGAGTCCGTTTTCGGACTAAAAAAGGCAATAATGAATCCTTTTTTAAAGTTAACATTTTCACTTTCAATAATAAACATTTAAAGTTTTTTTTTTAAAAAAAAAAAAAGAAAAGAAAACAAATTTAATAAATTCAATTATGTCAAATTTTTTATCATACCTTCATGTATTCTCAGTATTGTTTCAGTTATTAATTGGAGTGAATAATCCACCTTTTAAGCCAGGAAAGAGATTTGAACATACTGCTACGATTGTCGACAACAAACTTTTTATTTTAGGTGGATTTGGCGAGAAAGAAGGAAAAGAATTTTTTTACCTTGATGTTTCATCTCCATTCACCACCTTAAAACCGTCATGGGACGATTTGACGGACATTAACACACTTGAAGCACATTGGGGTGCTATATCCGTTAATGGTGGTGCAGATAACAGTTCATTAATTTTATACGGGGGAATACAATACAATGAAGACAGTAGTCATAGTAATTTTCCTTTGATTCATATATTTGATGCGCAAAATAACTCGTGGAGTGTTCCTGAGGTACCCGGTCAGGAACAAATTTTCTATCTTACTGGAAGCGGAGTTATTGATCATAGCGGACAAATGTATACACTTGAAATTATCCATCAGATGATGGTCGTGTTTGACACGATAGATTTAACTTTATGGAAAAAAAGTTCTATTAATAATATATTTATGACCTTTTATGTCGCTGTCTTATTACCAGATCAAAATATCATTTATTTTAGTAAGCAAACGAGTTGGTTATATCCATTGCTCGCATTACTTTCATTGATTATTAAAGTTTATATTTAGGTGATTCGGACGGAGCTGATCCGAACCTAAGTGAGGTTGATAGTTTAACTTTCAAGCGGACAATGTTACAATTATGTGGTTAAAGATTTCTAAAATTTTTCATTTACATGTAAATAGGTCCTTTTATACAATACAATTGATGATAGATGGCGTGTTCAAGTAAGTTATATAATAAAATCAAATAAAAACTGTTTCTAATATATTTTGAATACAGGAAACTATAGGAAACATACCTTCTAATCGATCGGATTTTTCCGCTGTTCTAGGTAAGTATAAAAAATTTTTAAACAAGAATTTTATAAATGTTACGACTATAGTGATATTATATTATCGTAATTATAGCATTGGATGGTCAACGAGTAATAATTTTTGGAGGTATAAATGAAAATACTATGGAACTTATTCCGGGAGAAGACGCACTTTATATATTGGAAATGAAAAATTTTGAATGGTATATCCCAAAAGTCTCTGGAAATTTTCCAGCTCGAAGTAATCATAAAGCGAACATAATTGGAAAGTATATGGTTGTAACTTTCGGTAAATATTGATCTTAATTATAAAAAAAACTCTTTTCTTTTTTAAAAAAAATATATGTGCTTATATGCCGTATTTTACATGATTTTTCATTTTGAAATTTCGATAGGATTATTTTATTTTGACGGAGTTCATATTTTATTGCTTGATATTAGTAATAATGACGAATATATCTGGACAACAGAATTTACAAATATGGCAATTCAGATAAAATCTAATATTTTTTATTTTATGATCATTATTTTTCATGTTCTTTACCATCTTTTGTAACGTAAACTATCACTTTGAGGTATTCTTGCACGAATTTTCTTGTACTTATTACCATTATTTAATTTTATTTAACAAATAAGATCTTTATTGAAAGTTGAAATAAAGAATTATTATCACACGATATCTCTCACACTCAAGCACAAAAGTATTATAACAAATTAAATGAATTAAGAGATTTGAAGTGCCTATGATTTTTTAAAAGCAAGTTAATTCAGTTAATTAAGGTTTTATATTCAAATAATATGACTTCTTACCTAGTCAATGACTTCAATAGAATCAGTAATTTCCCCAAATTGAGATAATTCTTCGAAATCAAGATGAATTTTACTTGCACCAAAATTTTCTTCTAAATATTTAATTATCTTTGTGCTAGGAATATTAACAATATTTCCCTATAAAATATAAATTATTATTAAACCTATCATAGGACGTACAATAAATAATCGTATTTATATTTACCTGTACGATGACCCAAGTCAAACAAAGTTGACCTGGAGTTACTCCTTTCTTATTCGCTATTTCGTTAATTTTCCACAAGTTTTAAATTATTGGCGAAATTTTCACCTTGAAAACGTGGAATTGTTCTTCTAAAGTCATCTGGGTCAAAATCTTATACTGTATTTTCCCTATAATTATTTTTAATGGATTATAAGTTAAAGCAATCGCAATATATATGGTAAAGTTATTAAAAAAGAAAGTGAAATTTAAAGAATCCTTAAGAATTGGAAGGAATCTTTAGGGATAATACAATTTATTGACTTCGAATTGATTTTATATATTGTTCTTTTAATTAGTTATTTCGACAAATACTATATGGCATTATAATAAGTTGTTATATACATATATATAAATATGACAATAACTTTTTATTTTAATATTCTTGAAAATCTGACTGGTAGTTTAAGGTTACCAGTTTAGATTTATAAAATTTTAATTTTTAATAATAAATCAATCAAATAAAATTAGTTTCACGGCGCAGCCGTTAAATCATGATATTTATGCGACACGTGAAATAACTCTTTTATCTCATGGACCAGTGATGGAAAAAGTGGGAAAAGTATAAATAAACTATAAAAGTACATGAGCATAAAAAATCAATTAGTAAACATGAGATAAATTTATATATAAGTTTAGTGAAAAAAAAAATCATAAATATGAAATTATTAATAAAACCGGCAAGAACTTTTTTATGATAAATTATAAAATATTTGTTAATTGCCCTAATCCTTTTTTTTTTGGACGGTAGTATCACGTGATCATAGTAAAAATATTTGTCACGTAATTTTTAAATTCATCATCCTCTACATCACACCCCTGGTTTCCATTTTTACTATTTATCCTGGAACAATATTTTCGGTGCGTGAAAATTTATTTGTCACAAATAAACCACCCTAGCGTCGCCTCTAAGAAATGGTAGCCGGATCTAATTTGCTGAATTACACATGATTTTTTTGGTACGTTCATGAGTATTTCGATATTTATACACATCTCAATTGCAACATACGTATTTTATTTATACTACTATTCCCAATATCTTGTATTCTTATTAAATCTTTCCAAGTTCTCGGCATAGTTCTACGATTTTCAAGTGCTATAATATCATTATTCATTTTTTTCCAATGAGTTAAAATTAGAACGAACAATTTTTTAATCATAAATGCCGTTTTTGGCTTGTTACGTGATTCTTCTAATAATTCTTAATTAGTATTTACATCAATAAAAAAATTTAAAAATTACATTTTTATATCATAATAATCATGTATCCCTGTAAAAAAAAGTCAATCTTTTTTCCGTAAAAGGCTCATATTTCCGGAATTAATAACTTTATATCACGGAATTTATCGAATTATTTACATTTTCCGTGAATGGATCTGGGAAAGGCTCATTTTACGGAGTTTTTACAGAAATAACGGATAAATTTTTTTATAGGTATATCATATTTAGTATTTCCTGCTTTATATTATTTCGGCAATGTAAATTGTTTTGTTAGCTTGATCATGGTCAAATAAAAAACAGTTCATTAAAATGAAGAGAAAAAAAAAACTGATTTAAAATTGATCAAAACGAAAAAATTAATGCCACGCCCGTTGCATCAAAATGGACGATATGAGATTACCAAAAATTATTATCCGAAATCACGTGTAACCCGGAAAATTAGATCCGGCTACCATTTTTTTGGAGGCGACGGTGGCATTTGATTTCGGGAAAAGGTATAAAAAAAGAAATTGGTCATGATCATACTCTATTGATATGACCATCAAGATTCTTTAAATTTTTAACAGTAACCCCCAAAAAATTATTTCTTAATTTGGACGTGAGATCCTACTGAAAGATTAATTTGTAATTCATTTCGTTGATTTTAAAATGAAAATTAATTTGCTGATCCATGATGAATTACATCGGGTTTATATTTATATAAAGACCTTAATCCATTCTTCTCTGCTATAAAATTTTAATCAAAAAAAAAAAACCTATAAATAATATAAACAATGAACTTAAATATTATTCTCATATTTGTCTTTTCTCTTCTTTTTGTTACGATTTCTCAATCATTGCCCGTAAAACAGATTACACCTTCACTGTTTACCGTCGATGATGCTGGAGACAATAAATTGACTGTAACAGTGCCATGGGATGGAACTGGAAATGATGATAATCGTAATATATACTAATATACTACTTTAAATATTTCTTTTTTCTATTTTATAATAATTGATTAAATAAATATTTATATTTTTTTTTTTTAAAAAAAAAGAAAATCTTGTATCCAGACTCTCTTGTTTTCCTCCCGAAGCCATAACCGTCGCAAATTCTCCTCAGGTAAAAATTTCTTTTTATTTTAAAAAATTCATTGGACTGAAATTTTATTTAAAAACTACTTTCATTTTAAAAATTTAATTATTAGAATCATGTATTTAGTGACCGTAAGGCCTCATTCGAACTAACCGTACTGAAAAAAGACACTACTGTGACTTGTGTATCTGACATTAAACTTGATACGACAGATCCCGTAGTTGAAAAATTTTTACTTAGCTTTGATTTTCAAACATGATTTACGTTCTACCATAGTAAGACTTTTGATAGTTGATACTGGAAATTATTTTTTTAGATTCGAAAATTTATGTATAAAAATTTTTTCACATCCTAGACTAAAATATTATTTTAGATAACAACTACTAATTTATTTTTAATGGTTTATAATTTTGTATATTTTTGGCATATTCGTATACAGTACTATACGGTAATGCTTTTTAAAAAGTACAAACATATTAAAAGATATCACTATAATATCACGACAATAAAAAAATAAGATAATACTGCAAACCAAAAATCGATTTAATATATTAAAATTCTTTTTTCAACTTTATGTAAAATAGGTGCTGTAAATTTTGTGTTTAAAGTAAGCAATCTAACATAAATGCCGACTATTAATTCAAAAAATTACTTCTTATCGTTGTATTTTGTGAGGTGAAGAAAAACTCACTAAATTTCCGTAAATGATCGCATGGTTTCCCATGATGTCCCACTCTTCATTAGTCCTTTAGCTTGCTGTTTTACATGAAGTTTCTTGAAAGCCGAATATATTCCCGATTTTATGTAACTTCAATTTAGAAGACAATTTTGTGTGACAAAATTGTTACTGCGTATTTACAATAAATAAAACTGCAAAATTTCGGAACTTTCACATGTTAAAAAGCGGAAAGAATGTTTATCGTACTGTCTGTACTGTCTGTATTTGGATGACAATTTACATAACTAAAAATTTTGTACGGATCACGTGACATACATGAATGAGGTTTACGTCATCGGATAATACACGTGGGCGAAAAATTCGCAATAAATATTCCCTATATTATATACAATCAAATATAAATGTAGAAAAAAAAATATAACATACTTTTTATTTTAATCAAATATAAATTATCTCCGTAAATTCTCATACAGTAATGCGAAGTACAGAAAAATAAAAAAATTATATACCTTCCGTTCAGATTAAAAAATAAAAAAAACAATTCGCTTTAAATTATCAAGGACCCTGAGACAAAATAGATAATGGCAGGCGGCATTATGTAATTCTAGCCTGAAGAGATGACCAGAGCTAATCGTAAATGAGTGTCGATCTCTTGTTACTTTACGAGGTTTTGGAAGATACAAGAAAAAACTTCACATCAAGTTAGAACATATTATTAATCATGGCACATCAATAGTATAAATATTAGTTACTGGATAGTAGATGTTAGAATATCACCGAACTGCGAAATGTTTTAAAAAAAAAAAACTAAGAGGGAGGAAACAAGGAAGAACTAATACTTTTTTTCTAAACACTAAAAACCCGAACAATTAAAATAAATATCTGACATTTTTTTTTTCTACAAAGAAAGATGTTTTTATATGTATTGTATATAATACATAATGTAGATAAGTTTATAAACTAAAAAAGGTTCCCAAAAAAAATTTTTTTGTGTAAAAAAAAAATTTAAGAGAGAATTTTATTTATTTATTTTTTTTGTAAAAAAGAAACAGTCCCTTTTATAAGATTTTTTTTATGATCGACAGTATGTTATATTACTGTATGGTATATACTGTATATGATATTATGATATATAAATAAATAATTATGATAATGTGATCGACAGTATGTAATATCTGCAAAATAAATTAAATAATGTACTGTAATGCTGTGTTTTTTGGCGTCATCACAAAAAAAGCATTTATAGACCCATAGATCCTCCATCCATAATTAATTTTAAATTTTAAATTTCCTAATTATTATTCAATTTTTACTTATTATCAATTGGATTTTAAACAAATAACCAAAATACACGAGATTATTACAACTTACAGTATTAATGGATCAAACTGAAAACAGCTCCACACCTTTACAACACACTTCAACTAACGGTGTAGGAATATCTATTATGAGTCTAAACGACTTTCATAATATTAATACCGCGACTCCAGCACCTCAAAACGTTATATTTGAGTTTTATTTTCATTTACCAGATGATACTCGTATCTATCGTGTTACTTATTCTGAATTAAGTCCGTCGGAAAATGTTCAACTTCTAAACGCCTTGCATAATATTAATACCGCGACTCCAGCACCTCAAAACGTTACATTTGAGTTTTATTTTCATTTATCAGATGATACTCGTATTTATCGTGTTACTTATTCCGAATTAAGTCCGTCAGAAAATGTTCAAGTTTTGAATAATGGAATTAATCTATCTCATATCCCTGATTACCTTTTGCCGGATCATTATTATTTACAATTTTTAATTCGACAACAGATTCAGCAACAAGTCCAGCATCCTGTTTATCAACAAAATGATATTCAACAACAATCCTTCGATAATTCTCAATCTACTTCCCAAATATATTCTAATGACACCTACAGTAACGAAACTGTTTCTTACAATATGCAAGATACGAGGAATGCAGGATTCCAGAATTCTTCCTAAGGGCTAAAGACTCTATTATGCATTTTTAATCTTTATACATGCTACTCCATGCAAATTACTTAATAAAATAAAATTATACAAGAAACCGGATAATCTGTCCGGTTTCTTGTGTAAGTTATTTATTTTATTATTTCGTTTCATCTTATTTTTTTTTTTGATTATTTATTCGATTATTTTGTTTTATTTTCTTAATTTTTCTTTTTTATAATTAGAACACTATTACAACATAATTTTATATTAATAATAATATATTTATTATAAATTATTTTTTTTATATATAAAAATTATAATTATTTTGAATATTTTAAGTGATCCGATAGCTCAATATAAAAAATTACAAGCCAAATAAATAATCATTTGTACTTGTTTTACTGCGGATATATTACCTACGTGCTTTTATCATTTTAAGTTCGGTCATAAAAAATTCAGACCCAGTGATAAATTCTTCCAAGTTTTAAACGCAAAATGCAAAATGTCAATAAAAATGTTTCTTTACTTCCATATCTTTTTATATAATTTTTTTTTATAAGAGAAAAATAAAAAATCTGAATTAATTTTACATTCACCGAAGGTTAATTTAAAATTTTATATATAAATATTTTATTAAGATATAAAATTTTAACGAAGGTGAATTTTCACCTTGAATACATTAAATTTTCCGATATTTTATGGTGAAATTCGCCAAAGATAAAGATAAATTTTACCTTAATTTACATAATGTGTAAAACTAATTTTTTGATGTTTTTATTTTTTATTATTATTATTTTTTTTTAAACTAAATTTTAATATAATAAATATAAATTATATAACATGATAAATTTTTATCTGAGAGGATTCTTTGACGGAATTTTATTCCTAGTATAAATTTATTCTAACAAAAAACCTAATTTTTTTTCAAGTGAGGAAATTAAGGATATTTATATCCCTTCTACATCCAGGGTCCATCTTTTAGTGGGTAATTGACATGCAGGTTTTACTACATTATTGTTTATCTAATATATTTTGTGGAATGGCAAACTCCGGTATACAAAATAAAGATTAATCCGGTCCCGGATCGTCGAATTTCTTTTCCGTTAAAAAATTTTTAATTTTTAATTACTAAAATGTTTGAATAGTATTGCAAATAATCACAGGTAATTTAATGGCTTGTCTAGTAGTTTTAATGTTGTGCATATAATGGAAGGTTTTCAGTTTCTATTCGGAATTTCGTTACAGTAAATTAAAAATTAATTTTTTTCTATCCGGATTTTTGTTACAGTAAATTAAAAATTTTTATCCGGATCAATCATTATTTTAATCCGGATGATTCACTCTGATTGAAGCACTATTACTGCGTTTTCGGTTAATTCCCGATTATTCTACTGAAATAAGCACTTTAATAAAAGTCGTAGCATTGAGTACTTTTATCATCTATGTATATTTTCAAATAAATTATAATAACACGCATTAGATAAAGATAATTTTTACCTTAATTTACATACGACCCAGAAATATATATCTGATATATTAGGGTCAGGTTTGAGTTTGCGTATTTTGAACTTAAAAAAATCATGAAAATCTTTCCTTTTTTAGATAATTTTTGATAATGCCAGTCAGAATTTATTTCCTATTATAGTAACCGGCTGACATTATCATAATTCCGGCCCTGAAAAAATGCGTACAGCTCATAGTAAAAATTTTTTTCATCAACTGAATTTATATCCCTTCTACATTCAGGATCCATCTTTTTAGTGGGTAATTGACACGCAGGTTTTACTACATTATTATTTATCTAACATATTTGTGGAATGGCAAACTCCGGTATACAGAATAAAGATTAATCCGGTTCCGGATCGTCGAATCTCTTTTCCGAAGATAAAAAAAAATTAAAAAATTAAAAATTTTTAATTATTAATTACTAAAATGTTCAGATTTTAAGGTAATTTAATGGCTTGTTTAGTAGTTTTTAATGTTGTACATATAATGGAAGGTTTTCAGTACCGTGTCGATATGGTAAAATGGCTTTTGTCGTCAAAATAGGGATTCGTTAAAATGGTTTTGGAAAAAATGTGATGTCGGTAAACAATAGCAAGTAGAAAAAATGACGTTGGTAAATTTTATGTCGGTGAAACAGGTGTCGGTAAAATGGATGGATACGACATAGTTTATACTAGAATACATATATTATTATGGCTGATAATAAACTCAATCTTTAAAAAAAAAAAAAAATTTTTTTGTACCGCAAATATTGTATAATTGCAACTGAAGTGAAAAAAAAAAAAAAATTTTTTTGTACCGCAAATATTGCAAAATAAAAAAAAAATGGGAAAACTAAGAAAAATATATGTGAAGTATATGTATGCTACAGCATTAAATATTGTAATATGAATTATAATATTTTATTAATTATAAATGGAAATATCTAAATTAGTCTATTAATAAATATAGGAATAATAAAAAATTATATAATAAATAATAAAAATAAATAATACGTATGACTGTGGTGTTGAACACCAGTGGTGTGATTTATAATTTTTGTTTTAAAAATTAATTGCAAATAAAAATATAGAGATTATATCTAATTTTATAATAAGATTTCATTAAATTTCAAATTTTATAAAAAGAATTAAAAGCAGTTTGCTCACACTTATAATTGGTGTTAAACAAAACCATCTATTAAAAAGAAACTATATAGTATTCTGTTTATAATGTAAAATAATTAACATAAAAAAAAAACATTCATCTTAAAACATATGCTAGAGAACCTACAGCTTGTACTTCCTCATTAGAGCCTGGATAGAAGCAGAAATACAAGGTATTAGAAAAATCTTCTTGTTTAATAGGGAAGGTGTAATTATTTTCTTGATAGATATAATCAGCAGAAAGGGGAATACTAGATTGTTCATTGCTATATCTTGCTTGTAGCTCAGCTACTCCCCAGATTTTGCATATGTTGTCATTCCAGCTACAAGTTGAAAAGACACATGTGGTGGCACTAATAAAACAGGTGCTGAACATACGACTTTATTTCATTTTTACTGTCCCATACTTGAGCACTGCTGTTATCGTCAACACAGAATGCATCATTTGGGGTAATATTAACACAAGAATCACCATCTCCACAGCTAAAATTAGTATCAACAGGTGTGCCTGGTTGACTAAAAGATTCACATGAAACCCTCACTGATTTCCTTGTAGCGCAAGTGGAGCTTTTATATTTAGCATTATTAGGGTCAGTGCATTTAGGCCTAGTGGGTACAGCAGAACCATCAATACTAAAAGTCTGATTTTGTAAATTTACTACAGGTATTCCTATTACAGCTGAAACCAAAAAGAATATATATATAATATATAATTGAGTAAACATATTCTGAAGTTTTTAATTTGTTCTTGTAAGAAACAAAAAAATAAAGAAAATAAAAAATATTATTTTTTGCAGTGGTATTATTAAAATCATTAATATGCATTTTCATGCCACTATTTATACATTTTACCAAGTTATCCCTATAAAAAATTTTATCCGTAAAAATGAGCCTTTCACGGATCCATTCACCGAAAATGTAAATAATTCGATAAATTCCGTGATGAGGTTATTAATTCCGGAAATATGAGTCTTTTTACAGGGTATGATAATCAAATTCGTTTTTATTAAATAAAGTTAAAAAATAATTTAATTTATATTTTTGTAATTTCGCGAAACCTGATTAATAACTTGCACTACGCGGTCATTAAAAAAAATTAATTAAAAAAATGACATAATATTCCGTTAATGAATAAGAAAAGTAAGTATTTAATAATATCAATCGGGTTTCGATTCTTATTTGGATAAACTATCATTTATGTTTAATTAGGTTATCCGAATTAGAGTATCCTGACTTTTCACCGAAGTCTATTTCACCGAAATATATTTTGCCGATTTCACCGAAATACATTTTTACCGGAGCCATTTTACCGAATGAACATTTCGCCGAAGGAATTTTTACCGATGCTATTTCGCCGAAAATTTCAAATTATATTTTTCCAAATGTTATTTACGAAAATTTTGTTACTAAAAATGTTATTAATAATTAATATTTATTAATAAAGAATTAGAGTATTAGATTGAACCCCAATGATTGAATATCAATCGATAACATTTTCGGAATGACCGACCTATTTGGTGTGAAATTGATGATTCGGAGAAAAGTATTCGGCGAATGTCCATTCAGAGAAATTTCCAATCGACGAAATGACCCAGGATCCCAGGCAATACTGAAATAGGTAACAAGAAATAAAACGCGTAGAATAGGCCAAAATAACCATGAAAATCTTTCCTTTTTTAGATAATTTTCATTAATGTTGGTCAGAATTCTATTACTTATTTTAGTATGTGACTTACATGATTATCATAACCTTGAAAAAATGCGTAGAACTAATAGTAAAATTTTGCTAATTTCCTATGACCTATTTATATATTGCTCGGGTCCTAATGACCCTTCGGTGAAACATCCTTTCGATGAAATGGCTTCTGTGACAAGTCTTCCGGTGAAATGGACTTAGGCGAAACGTATATATACACCCATTTAATGTCTTAATCTGGTATGATAGAATTTATCTATATTAAACGTTTATTTAACTGAAATATACTTGCCGTCAGAATTAATTACGACATATGAAGCTATGAAGCTTATACCGTAATATATTAAATCACCGTAATGCCGTAATTATTTAATGCCAAATATACAAAATTACACAAAGAAAGTAAATATTTTTTTTGTTGTGCCGTAGATAATTTGTAATCCGTAAATCTATAATGCTGATCTTGATGATTTGTAATGCCGTAATTTCAATTCGTCATTTCCGACGGCACCTATAAGCTGAAAATTATTTATTTCCAATATATCGATTAAATATTCTGGCTACTAGTTATAATTATTTTATTTATTTTTTCAACATAACGAAGTTATTTTTTATTATCAAATTCTTTTAAATAGCAATATTGAAATTAATTAGATTATTATTAGATTACCCGCTTCAGTAGCAAAAAATGCTTTGTTGTAGCAACAAAATAAAATTTTTGATCGATCAGTTTTACAATGAATTAAAATTTCTTTATTGGTAAAATAAATGCGTGAAGAGTTTAATGAATAATAACTTTACCATTACATAACTGTTAATTTTACCTCTTGAAACTTCTCCTGCAGTGATATATATATATATATATATATTATATATAGCACTGGAAGCTAGGATGTCTACGCAACTCTTCACGGGCTGTGTAGCATTCATGTTTGTACATGTGCGCCAGCATACCGCATGTAGTATTTTTAACTGATAATATATTTGTACTCGTTAAAAATATCATTAATATTTGTTACTATCGTTAAAACATTTCGTATCAATCTGAGTAACTTGTTCATAATTCATTTTTTTTTCTTTATTATGTAACATGTTATGTGCAATTACATCGACAATAATTAAGTGCCGCTGAAAAAATTTTTATCACGTGTTGTATCATTACCAGTTTTGTTATAAATAAGATAGATTATATTATACACCATTTTAATATTGTACAAAATGCATTACACACAGTTCTAGGTCTCTCTTTTTAGGAAAAAAAAAGAAAAAATAATTGAATGTTATAGTTTTGCCATTTTTCTTTCACATTCATTCATTCATTCATACACAATATTAATTAATTTTTTTTGATTTAAGAGAAATTCGATCTATAATCATCGATTTGAATGTTCTTCGTAATTGAAAAAAGTTTAATAATTATATAATTATTATATGATCAGTAACTATTGTAATGAAAAAGTAATCATTGACACGAAATTAATATAATAATAATTTATTTTTATTTTACTTATTTTTGAGGTTTTGAATTTCGTCACTTTTTTATGTTAGTTGTAAAAGCGGCGGTGTTACCATTGTACAGCATTCCTACTTGGAAATATTTTACTTTAGTGACGGATCACATCATTTCTCTTATGATTTATTTAATAGGAATAATTAATATTTAGTTTAGTAAATATATTTTAAAACTTTGACCAATTAAAAATAGATATTAAAGAAAATGTGCGGTCGGCGCAGTATATATACGTATTATATATATATATTTATGATGCATAAATATTTAATTATTACGCTATATGGATAAAAATATCAATGACGAAAATTATACAAGTTAATAGGATGGTATATATATATATTAACACTTATTGAAGATACTATTCTTAATTTCAGTGCCTGAATGATAATTTATATAATTTAAGGATCGTTCAGAACTAAAAATTAAAGGAATACTTATTTATTTGTTTATTTTACGTACTGTATATTTTAATAGGATATGTGTGATTTAACCTAGATTTAGGATAATTTTGTGATTTGTTTATTCAATTTGATCACAATTATAAGGCCACTTTTGTAAAAATGGAATAAATGATATTTTAATTTATTGTACGACCTTATAAAGCATAGTAAATACCGTTGTCGGACCGATTCCCGACATCCGTTTTCCCGGCGTAACCTTTTCCCGACAACGATTTCCCGACAGGACAAATCCGGAATGGACATTTTCCCGAATAACATCTTTTTCCGACATGACATTATTCCGACGATAAATATCGTGAAAATGTAATTTGGTTAGGTATATAGTTTTTAACAATAATACATTATAAATCGCAAATTTAAATTTTTTAAAATTAAGTTTTATTGATAAAAAATATTGTTTTATGATAAATAACTATACAAATGCTTTACAAAAGATATACAAAATAAACTGGGTAAAAATAATCTTCTATTTAGAAAGTAACTGTTAAAAAATTCATGTGTAACAGTTACGTTTAACTGATAAATAATTTTGAATTGCGCAGCTGTCGGTCATGTGTACGTTCCAATAGCCAATCTGAGAGATTTTCATCGCTAATACAGTTCCGGTTAATGAAATTTTAATTGGATTTTTTTTTTCAATTAACGAAAAAAAAACTTACAAATCATGTTCAAAAAAAAACAATGTCTCAATTAAGATAAATTACGTGATAAAATGTAATAATTGTAAAATAATAAATTCATTTTTCATTTAATAAAAAAAAAAAATTAAGAAAATATTTACACAAAGAGTAAGTTAGATAAATATAATAAACATAAAATTTAATTTTTCTATTAATTTATTTATTATATCAAAACATTTAATTTTTATTTTATTTTATTTTTTTGCAGTTAAATCAAGTTTTTTTGTGAACCATTTTTCATAATTTGATTTCGGGAAAATATCATGTCGGGATTTTGTCTTTTGGAATATTTATCGTCGGGATAATGTCATGTCGGGAAAGTAAATACATACGATTCAAGAAATGATATTATTGATTAGTAATTAGGCAACATGCATGGTTAATGGGATCGTTGTTTTATTATACGCACGTATATGAATTTCATTTATATTAAAATAGGTCGTGTTCGGTGATATATATACATATTTATAAAACAGCTACATAGATTTGCTACAGTACTATTTACAGACAGAATTTCATCGTGAAATTTAACCGATGCCATTTTGCTGACTTCCATTTTACTGACATGAAAATTTACTTACTCGAAATGCCATTTTACGACTGCCATTTCACCGAAAATTTATTAACTCCCTAATACGCCATAATTTCAAGAAGTTCAACAAACTGATTACAAATGCATTAATAATGCAAGATTTTATAGCATCAATATAAATTGTTCCTTTGTAATCTTTTTTCTCTATTTTTTTTTTTTCAAATAGTACGGTTAGAATTTAAAAACAAAAAAATTTATATTGAAAAACTTCCTTGCTTTCGTAAGGCAAAATTTCATGATCGTTAATACCGTGTCGATCATGTCGGCAAAATGGCATTGTCGCCAAAATAGGGATGGTTTCGGAAAAATGTGATGTCGGTAAAATAATGGCAAGTAGGCAAAATGACGTCGGTAAATTTTATAAAATGGGTGGATACATGTTATTTATGTCCGAATTTATACAAATTACTATTAAACCCAAATAATTCAGAAAATACTAAACAAAATCCCAAGTATAATTGAGCGATAAAAAGGCTAAATATTTTATTAATGGAATAATATAAAGAATAAAGAATTATATTAATAAATAAAAATAAATAAATAATACGTATAACTGTGGTGTTGAACACCAGTGGTGTGATTTTTTAAAAAAAATTAGTTACAATCAAAAATATAGAGATTATATCAGATTTTATAATAACATTTCATTAAATTTTAAATTTTGTAAAAAGAATCTAAAGCAGTTTGTTCACACTTATATTTGGTGTTAACCATACATTAACAAATATATATATATATATATTCTGTTTATAATGTAAAATAATTAACATAAAAAAAAACCATCATAGTACATATAGAGCAGCTACAGCTTGTACTTCCTGTGAAGTACCTGCAGTGAAGCAGAAACTTATATAATGAGAAAAATTTTCTGCTTTAATCTTGAAGCTGTAATTATTTTGTTGTTCTGTATAATCGTTCGAATCTTTATCGTCATATTTTGCTTCTAGCGATTGTACTTGTATTGGATCCCCAGTTGTTGAATATGTTGTTATTCCAGCTGCGAGTTGAAATAACTTTGGTGGTGGCACTATTAAAACAGGTGCTGAACATACTCTCCCATCAACATGATTATTTTCCCATTTTTGAGCAAGCTTACTGTTTTCATCAACACAAAATGCATCATTTGAGGTAATATCAATACAAGATTCGCCTTCTCCACAGCTAAAATTAGTATCTACAATTGTGCCTGGAAGATCATAAGATTCACATGAAACCCTCACTAATTTCCTTGTAACGCAAACGGAGCTTCTATATTTAGTATAAATAGGATCAGTGCATTTAGGCTTAGTGGGTAGAAAACTATCAGTGCTAAAAGTCTGATTTTGTAAATTTTCTACAGGTACTCCTACTACAGCCGAAACCAAAAAGAAAATATATACAATATATAATTGAGCAAACATATTTTGAGAATGAAAAGTAAAGAATATTATTTATTTTTTTACAATGATATTATTAAAATCATTTTCATGCCATTATTTATACATTTTACTAAGTTATGATAAACAAATTCATTTCTTCTTTTATTTTTTTATTCTATCAAATGAAGTTGAGATATTTAACATTTAATTATTTTTTCCATTGATTGATTAATCGATCAATTAAAAAATAATTTAATTATATTTTTGTAATTCCACGAAACCTGATATTAAAAAAAAAAATTAATTAAAAAATGACAATATTCTAAGAAAAGTAAGTATCAATCGGGTTTCGATCCTTATTTGGTTGGATAAACTGTTGTCTATGCCTAATTATGATATCCGAAATTCGATTTAGGGTTTCATTGAACACCGAGACACATTTCGCCGAAATTCTTTTACCGAAGCTCATCTCACCGAAAATTTCATAACATTTTTTGTAATTCCACGAAACCTGATATTAAAATAAAAAAATTAATTAAAAAATGACAATATTCTAAGTAAGTATCGATCGGATTTCGATCCTTATTTGGATAAACTTGTCATCTATGCCTAATTAGGATATCCGAAATCCGAATTAGGGTTCATTGACACATTTCGCCGAAAGACTTTTACCGAAGCTCATCTCACCGATAATTTCAAATCATATTTTTCCAAAATATTCATGATACAGTATTTACGAAAATTTTGTTACTAAAAACATTATTAATAATTAATATTTATTAATAAAAAATAGGTATTTTAATGGGGGCGTCCAAAATCTAGAAACTCGAAATCCCGATGAGCCACGGTCCAGATGCTTATCCTGTACCAGCAAATCTAATTGGATTAGATTGGTTTGTGTAACATTTGTCCTTAATTCGCGTTTTTTAAAAAAAGTTACGAACCGCCTTTTTTAAAGGCATTTACTACTATCGTTTCAAAGTAATATGTTATTTAAAATTTATATTTTGGTATGCATTTTATTAAACTTTATTAATAAAATTGCATATATTACTTTATAAAACATGATTTTTTACTGTAATTTATTATTAAAATTTAAAATTATTTAACATGATTAATATCAAAACAAAAGTACAAAGTATTATATTAGCTTTAAAAGTAATGTTATAAATATATAATTTACAATCTTTTTGAACAACTTTGTTTAATCCCAAAACTTTTTTTTAAAAAAAAATACTTGATACCACAAAAAGAATAGTGGAGAAAGATTGAGAGATTATGCGGAGTTAATATGTAATAAAAGTGATTAGCTAATCAAAAGTTAACTGATCCAGAATAAATATCCGGACCGGTGGATCAGACCTGGTTCGATATTCGAATCTCAACCGGATATTCGAATCTCTCAAACTTTACAAACATATTCGAATCACGTGGAATTTATATGGAGCTTTATTCGAATCAAGAGGTTACCTTAATATAGTTTTATCATTAGTATTATTCATTTATTTTATTTATTTATCCAAAGTTTCTCAGTTACCAATGCAATTATTAATATTAAGTTTTTTAGTAAAATAAAATTTCGAGATGTAGATAACCTGCGTCAAATGTTGATATTCTTTTATCACTAAAGGATTAGGTGAATAACGGAATAACAGATAGACAGATTCTATGCCCAGTACCGCCCTATAAAAAATTTTCTGGGAAAGATTCCGATAAATGATATTTCTCTCCAAAAAACTCCGATAAGTGATCAATTTTCTAAAAAAAATTTTTACAGGGCTAGATGACGAAGAATAATATTCTTTTTCCTTCATTTTCGTTAATTTTTTTAATTTTTGTAATCCTTAATTGATTAAAGTTATAACACCAGCTTACGACCTACCTGCTCGATCGTTGAAATATTTTTTTCTTTTTTATCGTTGTTTTTAACTTCAGCGTGTGACTCAAAAATTTATTAACTGCGCGCCTGCGCCTCACTCCTTACTGCGCCTTAATTTCAAAATATTTCAAGTGCTGAAATGTTAAAAGAAGTTCAACAAACTGTTTATAAAATGCATTAATAATGCAAGATTTTATAGCATCAATCTAATTGTTTCTTTGGTAGTCTTTTCTTTTTTTTTTCCAAATAGTACGGAAAAATTATGTATATTGAAAATCAAAATTTCATGATCGTGTCGATCATGTCGGTAAAATGGCATTGTCGCCAAAATAGGGATGGTTCGGAAAAATGTGATGTCGATAAAATAATGGCAAGTGGGCAAAATGACGTCGGTAAATTTTATAAAATGGGTGGATACATGTTATTTATGTCCGAATTTATACAAATTACTATAATTGAGCGATAAAAAGGCTAAATATTTTATTAATGGAATAATATAGAATAAAAAATTATATTAATAAATAAATAAATAATAAATAATACGTATAACTGTGGTGTTGAACACCAGTGGTGTGATTTTTTTAAAAAAATTAGTTACAATCAAAAATATAGAGATTATATTAAATTTTATATCAAGATTTCATTAAATTTCAAATTTTATAAAAAAGAATTTAAAGCAGTTTGTTCACACTTATTTTGGTGTTAAACAAAACCATACATTTAAAAAAAAAGCCATATATTCTGTTTATAATGTAAAATAATTAACAAAAAAAAAACACCCATCATATTAAAACATATCCTAGAGAAACACATATCCTAGAGCACCTACGGCTTGTACTTCCTCTGAAGTGCCTGCAACGAAGCAGAATCTCATATAATGAGAAAAATTTTCTTTTTTAATAGTGAAGCTGTAATTATTTGTTAGTTCCGTATATTCATTTGCTGAAGGGTTATCATCATATCTTGTTTCTAGCGTTTGTACTTGTATTGGATCCCCAGTTGTTTAATATGCTGTTATTCCAGCTACAAGATGGAAATACTTTGTTGGTGGTTTCACCAATAAAACAGGTTCTGAACATACTCTTCCATCAACATGATTATTTTCCCATTCTCGAACAGAATTAATGTTTTCGTTGACACAAATTGCATCATTTGAGGTCATATCAATACAAGATTCGCCATCTGCACAGTAAAAATTAGTATCTACAACTGTGCCTGGAAGATCATAAGATTCACATGAAACCCTCACTGTTTTCCTTGTAACGCAAGCGGAGCTTTTATATTTCCTATAAATAGGGTCAGTGCATGTAGGCTTAGTGGGTATAACCTTACCCAGAAGACTAACAGTGCTAGAAGTCTGATTTTGTAAATTTTCTACAGGTACTCCTACTACAGCCGAAACCAAAAAGAAAAAATATATAATATATAGTTGAGCAAACATATTCTAAGAATGGTATGGAAAGAAATGTGAAGTTTTTAATTTGTTTTTGTAAAAAAAAGTAAAGAATATTATTTTTTTTACAATGATATTATTAAAATCATTTTCATGTCATTATTTATACATTTTACCAAGTTATGATAAACAAATTCATTTCCTTCCTTTATTTTCTTTTTTCTATTAAATAAAGTTAAGATATTTAACACTTAATTATTTTTTCCATTGATAATTGTATTTTTGCAATTCCGCGAAATCTGATTAATAAATTGCAATCGGTCATTGAAAAAAAAATTAATTAAAAGATGACATGATATTCCTTTGATGAATATGAAAAGTAAGTATCAATCGGGTTTCGATCCTTATTTGGATAAATCTGTCATACTCCGAATTAGGGTTCATTGAAACTACTGATATACATTTCGCCGAAAGTCTTTTACCAAAGCTCATTTCACTGAAAATTTCAAATCATATTTTTCCAAATATTCATATGATATTTACGAAAATTTTGTTACTAAAAACATTATTAGTAATTAATATTTATTAATAAAAAAATAGGGTATTTTAATGATAGAATATCAATCGCCCTGCTGTAAAAAAGGTCGATCCATTTTTTTATATTCCATCTTTTTTCTGTAAAAGGCCCATATTTCCGGAATTAATAACCTTATATCATGGAATTTATCGAATTATTTACATTTTCTGTGAATAGATCTGTGAAAGGCTCATTTTTACGGAGTTTTTATAGAAATAACGGATGTCGCCAACATTTCGGAATGACCTATTTGGTGTCTGTGAAATGGATGATTCAGAGAAAAGTATTCAGCAAAATGTTCATTAAGAGAATTGTCCATTCAGAGAAATTTCCATTTAACGAATCCCCATAAAAATGAAATGTGTTAAATTCGTTTATATTTGTTCATATGTAAAAAACGTCTAAAAAAGCACCATTTTGTCTGATTTATGTTTTATTATTAAAAAACAAAAATTAAACAAAATGGTGCTTTTTTAGACATTTATCACACATGAGCGCAAATATAAGAAAACAAGTTTATGAATTGGCTTCTGCGAAAAGTCCTCCCGGCGAAATGAACTTAAGCGAAATTCTGAATTAGAGGGATATTGGTCACATGACAAATGATTTACAGGATCACGCTATTGTTACCGAATAATGACGGTAATAAAGAGACGAATGGCGGATGACTTATATCGTATAACTACACGGATACCAACGAAATTCTTACTCAATACTACCTATCCAAGGTATTTCCGGTATTGTTCGTTAAGAATCGTCAAGGTAAACAACTATAAAATACGATTAGTAGTAATACGCGATATATAAGACAAATCTTATATAAATATATATAGAAACAATGTATAATAACCAAAATGTAACGATTTTATTTAAATAGAAGGGGAACTTTCGGTTTACAACAAAGCGAATAAAGGTAATAGGGGAAAATTCTCTAGAACAACTATATATGTCTCTTCTTTTATAATGGAGTTGGTAGAGGCGTATTTATATCTTACTGCCATCTCTTTTTCTAACAATCAAGGGCGAAATCTAATCTAATAATGTTTAATCGTCAATGTTTCATCTCAATATATTACAATAGCGATAATTTTTATTGTAAGCCACCTTTTTAATAGAACACAAACGATAATTTTAGACAATTAATATTATTGAACTAATTTTCACACAATTATCTTCAAATAAATTCAATAAAATTGTTACATATAAATAATACAAATAAAGAAAATAAATGATATAACTAATAATAAATAAATAAATTAAAATAGATATAAAAACGATATATAAGTAAAATATCAAATAAAATCAATATCTTTAATATAGTTAACTGATATACACAAATCAGCAACTATACATCGGCGTAAATCGTCTCGTAACACCGGAAATCGACATGTACACAAATGTACCGAAATTTCATCGGATCATCATGTAAGATCGGAAATCACGTGCGCAAAAATTCGCGTAACACTATGTTGAACTCATCCAATAACTGAGTTAATAGTTACTAGTCATTAAGAATACTGTGGCGACCAATAGGAATTAAACTGATTTCAATAGATGCCTCATAAAATATCGGTCAGTAAAATCCCGCACATTCCTAATCGACTGAACAATAACGCAATTTTATGGTGCAATACATACAGTATAATACATATATAATAATGATAAAAAGAAATTAAATTTCTGATTTGAAATCTATAATAAAATAAAATAATAAAATCTAAAGAAATATTTAACGTATGAAAATTAAAAAAAAAATATGAATCCCCAAATCTTTAAACATCCAATAATGGACGACTAAAATAAAAAAGCTTTGAAAGTAGAATAATTTCGATGAGATCAATTTCTTATGTTGGTCTACTTGATGGGTGTGAAAAAATCCGGTACGAAGTGTAAAATGTAAATGTAGATCGTCTTTAAAAAAAAATAACACCTTTTAATTTAATCAGATATAAATTATTTCCGTAAATTCTCATACAATAATGCAATAACGCGCGAAGCACTCATTCTTACTTATTATATTAAAAAAAAATTATATATCTTCCGTTCAGATTAAAGCGTAAAAAAAAAATAATTCTTAAATTTTTTTTAAAAAATTCATAAACAAGCAATACATAAAGGTGACCAAAATAACGTGTAGATTTTTCCTTTTGTTCTTTTGGATAATGCCAAGCGGTATTATGTAATTCTGGCCCTGAAGAGAAGCGCGGAGCTAATCGTAAAATTAGTGGTTACCTATTCGGAGAGTAATAAGATTATTCTTAATTAAACTGGAAATAACTTCACATCACATCAAATTAGTACATATTAATCACGGCACATCAAGAGCATAAATATTAGTTACCGGATTCATGTTCTTCCATTGATTTTAATATTATAATAGGACTTTTTTATTATAATTAGATAATCTTGTACCCATTAAAATTTCAAATTTTACGTAATTACGTAATTTCAATTTTTATAACTTGACGATAAAATCCTTTTAAGAATTCCTTTAAAAAATTTCATCATCTTATTATTCTTATTATTATCATTAAGAGATGTTAGTATATCACCGAACTGCAAAATGTTTTAAAAAAAACTAGGAGGAACAAGGAAGAAATACTTTTTTCTAAATACTAAAAACCCTAACAATTAAAAATGATTTTTTTTCTACAAAGAAAAATGTTCTTTATATATATTATATATAATACATAATATAGATAAGTTTATAAATTAACCCAAAAATTTTTTTTCGTAACTTTTATAGTTTTATTCATATGAGTGATATGACCGATATGAGTTAATATTAGTTTCATAAGGTAAGATCTTTTTTAACCAATAATATTCAATGATACATATAATACTAATTTTAACCAATAAAAATGTTTAATTTGTGTCACGTAAGATTTTGCTTAACCCCACCCACTGATGATAATATTGATTGACTGTATTTTTAGGTTAAACGATATTGAGTATCATCCTCCGATGTTGTATAGTATAGTTGTCAAAAATCTATACAGTATAGTTTTTATCTATACAGTATAATTTTTATCTATACAGTATAATTTTTTATTTATACAGTATAGATTTTATCTATACAGTATAGTTTTTTTATACTATACTATACAACATCGGAGGTATATATCATACTCAATATCTATATTATCGTATTTTTCAACGTTAAATGATCGACACAGATTTTTTTTCTGTATTTATTTTGTTCGGGAGTTTATGAAAAAGGAAATTTCTTACTTTAATAATCTGTGATTTCTGTGATCATCAGCTGACTTCTTGAATGATTTCATTGTATTGCCCTAAATTTTGTCAATCGCTGCTGTGCAACTGTAATACGTTTTAAAAGGTCCTTTTTTTAATTTTTTTTAAAAATTTTTTTTTTACTCCGTTTAGATATAAAATTGAAGTCACATTTATTAATCCAATATGGAAGAATTTATACTCAATGATGATGTATTTGAGCAAATAAAAGATTTTGACCGATGGAACCTAACTGAAGAACAAAGTTTGTTAATTGGTAAGTTAATATTAAATGAAGAATTAAAAAATCGTTATAAAGAAAATGGTTTATGCAAAGAATGTAAGCAGCCTAGAGCTTCTGATAGTTGGTGTCAATGTAAATTTCAACAAAATTTTAAAAATTGGACTAGTGGAAATCATGAAGTTGACAAGTTTATTCAAAAAACACAACTTAAAGCTAAACGTTATCGTGACGTTTTAGAATGGATTGAATATGATAGATTTGAAAATGTTGAATACTTGGCAAAAGGAGGATTTGGAACTATTTATAAAGCAATTTGGAAAGATGGATTTATAAAAAGTTGGGATTCTGAGAATAATAAATGGATAAGAAGTAAAGCTTGGTTTAGGTATTATGAGAAATTCCCAGTTGTTTTAAAATGTTTACATAATTCACAAGATATTACGTCCGATTTTTTAAGAGAAGTAAGTTACTTATTTGTATATAGTAATTTCAAGATATTGTCCTATTATAAATATTAAACTGTCTATTAATTATTATTAATATGGATTCTTTTTTAGATTGGAGCTCATAATATGATTCCAGATACAGGTAAAACAGCACACTGTTTTGGCATTACTAAAGATCCAGAATCTAGAAATTTTATGATAGTAATGGGATATGTAATAAATGGTAGTTTAAGACAACATTTAAATAATAGTTTTAATTCAACAAAATGGTATGAGAAGTTGAAAATTTTACAAAATATTGCAGATGGCCTCAATTATAT